TGCTGAGTTTGAGCTGACTGCCAGAACTGCTCATACTGCAGTAAATGCAATATCTGCTGCACTGAACTATTGTACTGTGGGTTTATTTATAGTTATCATAATTCTGCTGCAGAGCAGAGATCTGTGATGTATTTGCATGGCGTAGTATTGGCAGTTCAAGCTGTAGAGTGGAAAACAACTTGCATTCATATAGCGCCCTTCACACGAGGTAGCGTCCCGGAGCATTTACTCTATATATGATGCAATATTGTAGGCGCATGAGTAAGGAAGAAAGATATGGAGGGGTGTGGGAAACAGGATTGGAGTGGTAGAGGCTCATTTGGAGTATCAACACTGACATGGACTAGTTGAGCCAAATGGCCTATTACTGTGTTATGATCTGTAATTTTGTGCAGCTATTGGAGGGAAAAGAAATATCTGAGGTGGGACGATCAGGGAATGTATATTTTTGAGCTTCTGCTTGTTTATCTTCTGTATGGATGTTTTTTATAAGTTCCTCCGTAACTCTCAAAGCAGCATGATGGGTTGATGTCCGAGGTAGGGTCAGTATCAAGTGGCTGTGGCAGGAGTGGACATGAAGGACCAAACATTGTTTTTTCTTGTTCTTGATGCAGTCAGCGGTATCAGCAAAAAGAACAATGCAGTGGGGCGCTCGCATTGTAGGTTTCATTATTGGCACGTGCCTTTTATAAACCCATTAAAGTAAAATCCACAGCACGCTCCAGAATGACACAGACCCTTTAAAACAACCAGCGGAAGTTACAAGGCCAGAGGGACCATTCGGGGACAGATGTTGAGTATGTTGAAACTTGAATGTCAACATTTGATTTCATGATCTTAGCTTGCAGCGATTTTATGCACTCCCCCACCTTCCCCCCAGCACTCCCTCCCACCCAACATGCCCTCCCTCTCCACTCCCACCCCAGCATGCATGCCCTCCCTCCCTCAGCACGCCCTCCCTCCCAATCAGCAATCTGCTTTAGGGGGGAGAAAATCACCAGGATTTGGTTTCCTAATTGCTATTCCAGTGACCCTGCTGGAAAATGTTACTAAGTGATTATCAGGTGAAGACCAGACCAGGCTTTCATATCCTCCCAATGCTCACTGTCTTAGTCTAGTTGCCTGGATGAAGAATGTCCCTCTGGCAAGCCACCGGAAGCTTGCTGGTCCCCACAGAGCTGTATATCAGTGCAATTCCATACCTTCAAAGGAAGGAGCAGGAATGGGAGAGAATTGGAATGGCTTTGGGCACCCGAAAGGGTTAATGTTTACCTTTGTTTAATTGATCAGCAGGAAGGAATAGGAAATTAAATCTGTCAGCTGCTGAAGATGTATCTTTTAACGGGCGCTTATGTTAATTGCTTTCAGTTGGCTGCGAAAAAGGTGCGTGGAAATTGCCTGTTAGTCAATTCTATTACAATGATGTAAGGCTTTCATAAGCAGTATTTAGGACATCCTAGGTGCACAGTCTAATGATCCAACACTCTGATCAAACTATAATTTTAGTAAAGCAGATAGTCAGAATATATGGTGTTGAATTGGATTTATGTCCGTCCAAAGCACTCCGGGACGCTACCCCATGTGAAGGGCGCTATATAGATGCAAGTTGTTGTAACTCTACCTGGGCCTCCAGTGATTTCTTTGTTCTTGAACGCAAGAATAACCTACATTGTCATTCTAAAAGTGACCTTGGTTAATCTAATTTTAATCAAATGAGGAAACTCTGATATCGAGCTGTCTGTGTGTGTTTTTATATGTATGAGTGCATCTTACTGTGTTTTGTGTGTTCACATGTATCTGTATATTCTGTGGCAAACTTTAAGATTACTGGGAAAAATCCTCCAAATGAGTTTATTCCTGTACGTCAGGACACGGATGGAAACTCCCTTTTTTCCACTAGCAGCAATTACAAATATATAAATAAGCAGCGCAATTGGCTGCCGTGTTTCGCCCACAAAATACAGTCGATCCATTTTACAATATATTCTGTGAAGCGCTTTGAATCATCTCAACGATATGATAATGCGGTTTATCAAATGCAAAGACTTATTATTATTACTAGTGCCATGAGTTTGTTTAGGTGATGCATCCCTTTAAATCTCCACGACTTTTATGCACAAATGTGTAGAGGAGGGATTTACTGAGCTGCTGTTTTGGAACAGACCTGACCAGATTGATGGAACAAACAGAGCTAATTCACAATCAGCTGTGGCAGCTGTGATGACCATTTGCTGTTTATTGAGCCTGCCACAGCAGGTGGCTTGACAGATCGAGTGCGCAGGTATGTGGTGGACAGGCCAGAGGGTCACCCTTGCTCACCAAATGAACCACTGGGAGCGCATGTGAGCTGCCAGAGGGTCACCCTTGCTCACCAAATGAACCACTGGGAGCGCATGTGAGCGAGTACCTCTTGTTCAGGTCGAAAGTAGGTCATGTTAACTCTCTGCAAAAACTCCCAGGCAATAATCGGATAACAGAAAGCGAGAAGGAGGGGCGACAGGGGTGGGGGGGCTCAAAATGCACGGGAATATCTTTCATCGTCCAGATTATTTGGTTCTGAGATTACTGAGTTTTTCCGGGGGTAATAATTCTTTCAAAAAAGTAATAATAATAAATTGGTCAATTCAATCCACGGCTGTTTGTGGGACATTGCTGTGCGCAATCAGTTACGGTGTTTCGCCAACAAAATACAGTCAGTTCACGTTACAGTGTATCCTGTGAAGCACTTTGAGACGTCTCGAAGACGTGATAAGACACTGTGTCAAATGCAAGGATTGCTATTACTGTTAATGTGCTGCAGCAGAGGCCTGTTTGGTCTACAAAAAATGTCTTCTTTAAAAAGCAGTTCTTTAAAAATCCTTTTTTAAAAAAAATTTGTTTTAACTAGCAGATTGTACATGCATTGGGGAAATGCATGTATTTTCCCTCGGGCCATTCATGTCTATCAGCCATTCATAGGAATCTCACTAACTGCTATCTATGGCTGTTTATGAAGGATGACTGTGACTAGGAATGATGTAGAAATGTGCCCTCGACCTGACTATACAGGCGTTACGATGCAACTTAAATATGATTTGGCTTTCAAAGTGCGTGTGTGTGTGTGTGTCTACAGGGAAACCACTCTGTTATAACATGGTGGTTTGGGACCAGAAGCTCAGATTCAATGCTATAATGGGGTATGATAAAAAATTGATGCCAATTATCGTATCCAAGTTGTCTGGTTGCTGCTGATGACTTTAGACAACCTGCTCTTATGAGGCCTTCTATTGAGGAAGTTTGGCTGATCAGCGATGGACACACTAACACAATTCCAGTATATCTGGGCTATAAGCATACCCATGTTATACCAAGGCTTGATGTCGTAGGGTTGGAGTGAGCCAATTAAATGCATTGCAACAATGGAGTAGGAAATGTGTCGGCCGGTGAGTTCTGAAACTCTGGAACTCTCTCCCTCAAATCCTCCGCCTTGCCCCCTCCCTCTCCACCTTCAAATCCCACCTAAAGACCTTCCTTTTTGATCGTGCTTTTGATCACCTCCCTCTCCCCCGGCTCGTTGTCAGACCTGCGTGAAGGGCGCTATATAAATGCAAGTTGTTGTCGTTTAAACCCACTTTTGAGCTTTTACTCACCCAAAATCCACAGGCTGTGAGATGATGACTTCCCATTTGTACTCGTGCTCCTGACCAGCAGTTTGCTCTTGGACCTATTTCCCAGCCAAGAGAAGGCTGAAAATCTGACAAGATCTCAGATCAAAACAGCTTTTACTGCTCTTCGGAATTGTTTTCTTCGCTGATTTATTCTTTTGCTTTTTAGCAAGCAGTTTTCAGTTTGCAACAACCACATTTTCAACACCAAGTTTATTCAAACTCCGTATCTTTTGTACTTTTGATTGTTTGTAGCAATGTGCTCTAACGCATATTAATTTAGAAGGCAAGCTGGTCTGTATGTCTCCGTGACCCGCATCGGGTTAACCCTGTATCCTTTTACTGTGAATTCTGGAATTGCAGTCCACACATTCTATTACAAAAAACAGTATGTCTGTATCTGGCTTCATCATGATACATTTTTCTCATTATAGTACTGAAAAGGTGTAAATCTGAGTTAATTGGTGGTGCTCTGATCTCTGAGTCAGATTTTGGGTTCAAACCCCATGTAGGGACTTCAAGCTCATTGTGTGGGCTGGTTCTTCAATGGAGTGCTGTATTACTGGAGATGCCATTCATCAAATGAGATGTTGAGTCCTGTAGCTCAGTGGTTAGAGCACTCGCTTTGCAAGCGAGAGACCCAAGTTCAATTCCCGGCAGAGGGCGAAACCTTGGGCAAGTTTCCTTACTCCACACAGAGCCTAATAATAATCCCTCCAAAACAAAAACAATAATAAATTGGTCATTTTCAATCTACGACTGTTTGTGGGACATTGCTGTGCGCAATTGGCTGCCGCGTTCGCCCACAAATATACAGTCAATTCACTTTACAGTGTGTTCTGTGAAGCGCTTTGGGACGTCCTCCCGACGTGAAAAGCGCTATATCAAATGCAAGGATTATTATTATTATTATATTATTACTTTACTGTGGACATTATTTTATTTTTCGTGCTCTTACAAAGTGGGAAAGAGACTCAGAATTTTCGAAACACAGCCCCCGGCTTCCGTACAGTCTCTCTCTGTCTGTGCTCTTTCTCCTGATCGCCTGCTTGCTTTTCACAAAATTATTTATGCGTTTTCGTGCCAAAATTCCGCTCCGCCCCATCCAAAACTCTTGAAAGCTTCACGTTACAGAATCCTGTACTTCATTCACACTACTTTAATCCTCTTGATAAGGTTCAGGTAATCCATTGACGCAAAGTTTATTCAAGAAAGGTCACCTTCTTTCATCGTTGCCAATGAATTTCAGTGCTAGGTTTACAGAGGGAAGTGAAGGTGACATTCGACGTAGTGCCCGGGTCTGAATGCTGCATGTTATTTTGTTAACGTGCTGCTTTTTGCCCTTTTTTTCTGCAGAAATTGAAGCCAAGGAAGCGTGTGACTGGTTGCGAGCTGCTGGGTTCCCTCAATACGCACAGTTGTATGAAGGTGAGTCCTGCCGCAGTCTCCCGTGACCAGTGTTTTTCTCTCCGCGTGTGCAGCTAATGTGCAAAGAGGTGTACAAGCCGTCACATGGAAGAAAAGCTGCCTAATTCTGTGCAGCGCAGGCAGAGAGAGCAGAGCCTGTTAGTCCCCTGCTGGTGAAGGTGTGAGTGAGGAAGGAGGGGTGAGAGAGTAGAAGTGAGACTTTTGTTATCTTTCCAATTTCTGACAAAAGAACCTGCAACCTAGACTCCTCAGTAATCTGACAATTTTATGTTTCATCAGTGTTGAGATCTAAATGTTGAGAGTCCTTCAATACCAAATATGAGTTACCCAGCGGTGTGGAGGATGGACCTTTGATATCCATCATACCTTCCTTCCCCCCTTCTATACAACCTTCTTCCCCCCACCCACCCCCATTCTCAATGCAGATGTATGTGAATCTGTATTTGACTTCCAGATCGCCACACAAAATTCCTTGAGGTAATAATAATGCTTGCATTTGTTATCGCGCCTTATTACGTTGTTGAGACGTCTCAAAGCGCTTCACAGAACGTACCATAAAGTGAATTGATTGTACATTTTGTGGACGAAACATGAAGCTACTATTCTGCTATCCAGTAGTGGCGAGTGGCAAACCCACAAAGTCGAGTGCGTGTCCTGGCTTCAAACACCGTCTGCATTGAGAACACTGAGGGAAGGTCCACCTGCCTCACACCTATGTAATTCATAGTCAACTGTTGAGGAATCTAAATTTAGACGCAATGAGAGTTATTTCAGCCGGTAAATTCAATCAGTTTTACAGCTCCCTAAAAGTGAACAAGTGCAGCTCATGGCTCATTGGGCAAATGCCAGGTCATATAGTGCAGAAAAGTCCAGGTTCATCGCTCGGTCAGTGCAGATTTTGATCTCTGCTGAGTGAGCAATAGGAGCACTGCGATCGTTCCGGGACTTCGAAACTTGCTAGCCAGTGACACCTGCTGGTTATGTTCACGTGTCCATTCACTTCATGGCTGTTTGTGGGACACTGTTAGTGAAAATTGGCTGCCTCGTTAGCCCACAAAATAGTCACTACCCTTTATATGTAGGAATATCCTGTGAAGAGCTTTAAGATGTCCTTTTGATGTGAAAGACGTTATTTAACTAGTATAAGGGTTATTTATTGTTTACACGTGCAAATGTCGCCTGAGAACAGGTTCACGTTTGGCTGTGAGCCTACTCATTGTTGAATTGCCTGTTTATGCTCAGTGGCTAAGGTCACCCAAGAAACTGTATTCCAGCATGTCATTTTGAGCGATCTGCGGAAGGGGAAAGAAATCAGAACTTAGACAGGCAGGAATGATGGGCTCATTTATTGCTACACAGGTCCACTCTCTGCAACACAATAGAAATGTTATCCCTGTCCTGGGCTAAACAGACGGCTACAGAACATTTCAGGGAATGTTGATTAGTTGGAATGCCACCAGGAAGATATCCTTGTGGAGTCCAGTAGTGTATTGGTTAGAGCACGTGCCTGGCAAGTGAGAGGATCTAGGTTTGAATTCCAGCGCGAAAAGTTTCCTTACTCCACACGCCTCTGTTTACCTAGGAACCCAGTTGTTAATCGATAGGCAGATCCATTTACGATGGTAACAATCCCTTAAAACAAAATTTAAAAACAATAATGATTCGGTCACTAAATTCATGATTGTTTGTGGGACACTGCTGTGCGCAATTGGCTGCTGTATTTCACCCACAAAATATACAGTCAATTCACTTTACAGTATATTCTGTGAAGCGCTTTGAGACGTCTCGAAGACATGATAAGGTGCTATATCAAATGCAAGAATTATTATTATCCAAACGATGGATGTGTGTTGAACGAGCAACTTGACTTGAAAGCCCAGCATGTGTTTGTGTACAAGCAGAGAAGATTTATAGCAAACTTGTTGACCTTCCGAATTTGTATTGAACATCCCAATCTGAAATCCTTCTCGATATTTAGTGACCTATTTTCCCCCTCCCCCGTACAGTACAACCCTAATTTGTTGATTTGTTGACTTTCATGATGCGTATACCTTCCAGAACTGCTACTTTTAATAAGTAATCTCCCCTCGGCAGCAGTGCCACAAGGTAAATAAGCCAGTGTTCTGCCTTCAGAGTCGATGAGGATGATATAATGTGGTGCTTCATTAAGTCTTCAAGACCTCTCAAAGCACTTCACAGAATTTACTGTAGAGCACACTGACTATTTTGCAGACAAATGGAGCAGTTAATTTGTGCAAAACCGTGCCCCACAAACAGCTATGACATGAAGACCCCTTGAAGATTGTATACTCAAGCCCCATTGAAACAGCCTCCGAATTGGTGAAGAAAATGCTCAGACATGCCTGTGAAGCATTGATAGTGATTTCCAGGTGGCTGAGTCTGTAAGATTTTCTCCACACTCCCAAGCATTGGGAATGTCCAGCAGCCTGGGCAACGTCCAAACCTCCACAGATATTCTGCAATGGGATTAGAAGTGTAGGTCAGCCTTGGTTATTGGGAATGGGAATCATGGGGATAACATCATCAATGCATCTCGAACCCTATCAAATCTTCCACATCTTCTATGATTCATCGCAAGGCAAGCGGTACAGGGGCAGTATTAATCAGAAAGAATAACAAGGGGAACAGTAAAGTCTGATTTTTAGTGTAAGAATGGTGAAAAGGCTGCTCGGGACTAGAATATCAAGCTCGGGACTGGAATGTCAGGGGCCTTATTGGTGCAGCCATCAAACACAGAGCTCCTGTGGGTCGCGAATCAACTGTAGCCAGTCTGATGGGCTTCATATAAATGCTTTAGTGAGTGCAGAGTGGCCCAGCAATTCACAGCTCATAATTATACCATTCTCTGTAATGAACCTCAAGTATGTGTTGAATTCATAACTGACCAAAAATATGTGGATGTATCCTTGGAAGGTGAAATTAGATTCACTGTAATGTTTGCTTTAATGTATGTAATGTATTTGTCGCAGCTAAGGTATTTCCCTGATCACACCATTGCTACTGGAGACGAGCCAATAAAATGAGGGGACAATGAGTGATTTATCGGCAATTTACAAAGTTACTCATTTGTTGTATTCAGACTAAGAATTTAACCAGTTTCAAAATTAAGACTAAATTCAAAGATATTCTAAAATTTCTGCACCTAATTTTCAGCTCTTAAGCGTGAAACCGTGAGAGATTTCTAGACTCCACAGTCTTCCTGATTCAAGATCATGACTGTGAACATAATAATAATAATAATTGTTGCATTTGATATAGCGCCTTATCGCATCATTCAGACATTTCAAAGTGCTTCACAGAATATAGTTTAAAACTAATTGAGTGTATTTTGGGAGCGAAACATCCACAGACGACAAAATCTGATTTGTTTCATGACAGGATTTCAGAGGCAGCACCAGGTAAACTGATTCCATCACCATTGTCTGTCGGTGCATTTTAATGAGTTGTTTATTGAATAGTCTCCAGAATTAAACCTTTTCTGTTTTATGACCCCCCCCCCATACATACCCACATTGTTACTCCACCAAAGGCAACAAGTGCAAGAGAGAAGTGGAATGTAAGTAGGTTGGAGTAGCCAAGGCATAAAGTGATTTTGAGGATCTTGAAATCAATGTGTTTTGCAATAAGGAGCCAGTGGAGCCTGGCAAGGACTGGGGTGATAGCGGTCTGGAGTTTGGTACAGGTGAGGGTAAGGGAGGCGGAGTTTTGAATTCATTACATTTTATGAATGGTGGAGCTGGGGAGACCAGCAACGAGGACATTGGAAAAATCGAGGTGGGAGGTGATTAATGTGGGAGGACGGCTCCTCTGACAATGCAGCGCTCCTCCCCGCACTGCAATGTAGTGTCAGACTAGACTTGGAGTGAACAGTTCTGTTGTGGGGCTTGAACCGCACCTACTTTCTGATTCTGGGGCAAGAATCGGTGATCCCAACTGAGCCAAGCTAATTTTTTTTAAACAAACACAAGTTCCCTAATACCGAATTCTGTTAGAATTTCAATCCGCTTTACTTCAGAAGCAGATCAGTCGGAGAGGAGTCCTCAAAGATCAGTATTGCTTATTCCGAGTTACCAGAAGAAGTGCTTATTTTTGTGGCTTAAGAGTTTCAAGAAATGCTGAAAATATGAATAGGAAATACTGCGAATTTGGCCCTAATATTGAGATTTTTCTTTCAACCCTCAATGTAGGATTTTTTAGCCACAGAATGATGGGAAAATGTTTGGCACGTTGATTTCAAACAACTGTAAAACTTTCCCTCAGTTCTCAAGTTTCACCTTCTCCTTGATTATAACCATATGTATGAAGCCAGTTACATAACAGAGGCCAGATATGGAATTTCTCTTTGGATATGAGCTGCAGTATCCTGGATAAAGATTTGGAGCAAATCTTATTTTTATATCTCTTCTTGCAAGGCTAGAAAAATTATGTGACCACCCAGTGACTGAACACGTGGAGGGAAGGATATTAGCAAGTATGTAGAAGGAACAGGGAATTGGGATTAGGATAGAAGTTGTCATTGAAGGAACAGTGGGTCAAATGGCCTTTTAGTGTGTCCTAGAATTCTATGGTTCTCCATTAGAAAAATTAGGAAGTAAGTTTCAAAAATATTTTGAAGTATTTTTATTTAATTCAGAAGTTCTCCAATTATAATAATAATAATGCTTGCATTTGATATAGCGCCTTATTCGCGACGTCTCAAAACACTTCGCATAATATACTGTAAAGTGAATTGACTGTATATTTTGTGGCCAAGAGTCGATTCTAAACTATGTTTGTTGCAGAATTGCCAGGGCAGCATGGGTGGGCGAGGGGACTATATTTGGCTTCAGTGCCCCTGTTCTACAGAGTGAGGAAATCTGCCAGAATTAAGACTTCTCATCCCATTCCAAAGATCTCTGCTAGAAATTGCATGTCAGTGTAAATGTCGGGGCTAAAGAAGTGTCAAGTTTAGCTTTGGCTCTCTTTCCTCTCCTGCCCCTGTAAAGTAGCCAACTGCTGCTCACTGTCTAGATTCAATTTGAAGATGGCACCAAATGAGGAAGGTATGGGCAAGCTTTTGGTCTCTGTGCAAACCCAAGCAAAAGTCACCAACTTCAGTGGCAAGAGGGTGATAATTGGAGCAGGAGTGGGGGGGGAGAGAAAAGTTGAAGGAATTGGTTGGGGGGTCTGTTTATTAATTTGAAATAAGTTTTAATGTGCAGAAGTGATTGGGATGTTTTTATCCATTGCAGATTCCCAATTCCCAATTGACATTGTGTCTGTGAAGAAAGATCATGATTTTCTTGACAAGGACTTCATAGAGCCTCTCTGTAGGTAAGGAATGAAAAGCAAGTATTCACATCAAGTGAAATTTAAAATATTTCCAGAAGTTAAATGAATAAATAATTCCAAGGTATCTATGTCAGATGCTAAACATGATTTCTGAAAAACCAGAATAGTCTTGTAAGAATATTGTTCATGAGGAATAGGAGTAGCCTATTCAAGCCTGCTCTACCTTTTCAGTAGTTTGTTCCATGGAGCCTGTTTATAACACAGTAGGTTGGGTCCATTCTTAAGGTTATCCAAACCAGACAACTATGCATGGACATTTCCCTGTATGAAATGAAGTCTGAACTCTCTTCTCCAAAGGGATACCATCTGCTTACCTAATTTCAGGGAGCAGGTTGGAAAGAGCCAATGCTTAGGGATCCCAGACTGCATTGGGTACGGCTGAGTTTTAACCAGGTAAAACCATATAATTTACCATTGAGAGCACTGTCTGGAAAGCTTCCTGCTGCTATCCACCTAGGATTGCTCCATGCCTTAGTGCTTTGACTTACAGGAGCTGAGAATACCTGCCTCTAGTGACTGATGAGAGCATGGTTATCATCCGCCTACCCACAGCTCAGATGCCCATCCCTATCATTGAGCAGTGGTTCCACTATTTGGAGGCCTTGAGTTTGTTTAATTCTCTGCATAAGATATCAAGAAGCTTGGAACCATGTAGCACAACTTTTTGGACATGTGTACTATACAACACAAGCTTAACCTGTAGTGGGACCTCACTGTCATTGAATAGAGACAAGAATGACCAGACTGTCCTTCGCCCCTTCTCAACACAATCCATAAGGCCTATGTCCAAGAAAAAATTGCTGTCAACAACAGCTTGTATTTATATAGCGCCCTTCACACAGGATAGCATCCCGGAGAGCTGTCCACCACAACCTCCATTTACTGATACGAGTCAATGATTGGGGCAGATGCCCCTTATATCTTCCACTTCTATGAGCTGTTTGCCTCCCCATATATTATTTTTAAGCTGCTGTACCTTGCACGACACAAAACCTCTCGAGCTGAAAAATAATCGTTAGTTATGAAATCGGAGCCTCCCTTCAACAGGATTGCAGAGCTCATGAGCATGCGAGTGCTTTTGCAGCTGTTGTGATCAGGAATTTGAAAGTTGTTTTGAGGCAGCTGAGTGTAGCTAGGCAAGGCCTGCATTTAGAAATGTTGCAGCCGTTTGTGTTCACAGAGGGCCTTTCTTTCATTTAGTAATTTGGAACTTTAATTTTGGGTTTCAAAGTTATATGTTCTATTTTGGAGGTGATGGTCACACCCTACCACCCCCACTAACTCTGCTTCAGCAGCATTTCAGAACCACCCTGTTTCTCAGTATGTTTCTATTTACACTCTTTCTTGCATCTTGCTATTTCCTACAGAGAAATTTTCATAATATGAGTTCACAGTGGATTTTGTTGCAAGTTAGTTGCAAGGTTGTCATTTCCAGTGAAGCATAAATAGTGCATAAACTCTATTTTTCCACCTCTCTTTGTGACCCCAGTCCCCTGATGTTCTGTCAGCCTGCCTGTTATATCTCAGGGGCTGTTTGAGCACAAATTTCCTTCAGCTGAACATTGACAAGACGGAAGCCATACTCTTTGGCTCTCGTCAACGTCTAAAATCTCATGGCTCTCACCTCTTCCACCTACCCGACCTCCCCCTAAAACTCTCCGAACTCGTACACAACCTAGGCATCAGGTTCAATCCCCAATTATCCTTCCTCCCCCACATCTGGTCCCTCACCAGCACTGCTTTCTTCCACCTCCGACGCATCACCCGCCTCCGCCAATACCTCTCTCCGAAGGCCGCTGAAACCCTGGTCCATGCCTTCGTCACCTCTCGGCTGGACTATTCTAACGCCCTCCTCACCGGTCTCCCATCCACTACCATCCATAAAATCCAGATCATTCAAAACTCTACCGCACGCAATCTCACCCGCACCAAACTCCGCTCCCCGATCACCCCAGTCCTTGCCAGACTGCCCTGGCTGGCTGTCCCAGAGAGGATCGACTTCAAGATCCTCACCCTTGTATTCAAATCCCTCCACCCCTCTGCACCCCCCTACCTCTTTGACCTCTCTCCTCAAGACAGTACCAGTTGCCTTCGTTCCTCCGGGTCTGGCCTCCTCCTCGTCCCCTGAGTCCTCCGCTCAACCCTCGGCGGCCATGCCTTTAGCCACTATGTTTTGAGGCTCTGGAATTCCCTTCCTCACTCCATTCGTCTCGCTCCCTCTCTTCCTATTTTCAGGTCTCTACTGAAGACCTTTCTCTTCGACCGCGCCTTTGGTCACCTTCCTCCCCATCCTCCGGCTCAGCGCCGGGATCTGTTACTGTAAAGTGCTCTGAGACGCTGTCCGCCGTGGAGGGCGCTATATAAATCCAAGTTGTTGTTGTAGTTTTTTCTGACTTACCCATAACAGCCAGTATCCTGGGAGCTGGGTTATCCTGTCTCAGTACTCCCAGCCTGCCCAGAATGAGACATGGCATCAAAGGCATTGATGAACTGGCTGGCAATTTCTCAATACACATTTTAAACTTTTTAGAAGAAAATATGTTTAGGATTTCAGGTTTTAATACCTTAGTCACTGGATCATAAGATTGGGATTTGTTTGGATGAAGAAGACCCTTCAGTCCAGCCAATCCCATCCTTCCAGAACACCTACCTCTCTGGGTCCAATTGCCACGTTCTCATAGAATCATAAAATCATACAGCACAAAAAGAGGCCATTCGGCCCATCGAGTTTGTGCCAGCTCTTTGAATAGAGCAATTAATGTCAGTCCCACTCCCCAGCCCTTTCCCCATAACCCTGCAGACCCGTCCTCCTCAAATACCTGTCCATCGCATTTTTAAAAGTAGTTATCGAATCGGCCTCCACCACCCTTTCAGGCAATGCTTTCCAGATTCGAACAACTCGCTGTGTATAAACATTTCTTCTCACTTCCCCTCTGTTGCTTTAAGAGACTATTTTGAATCTGTGACCTTGAGTCACCGACACACCCACCAGTGGAAACAGTTTCTCCCTCTCTAACCTATCAAATCCCCTCATGATTTTGAAGATCTCTATTAGGTCTCCTCGTAACCTTCTCTGCTCCAATGAGAATAATCCCAGCCTCTCTAGCCTTTCCCCATAATCAAGGTCCCTCATTCCTTGTACCATCCTCTGCACCCTTTCCAATGCCTTAACATCCTTCCTATAGTGTGGTGCCCAGAACTGGGCGCAGTATTCTAACTGAGGCCTAACCAGTGTTTTATATAGGTTAATCATAACCTCCTGACTCTTGTACTCTATGCCCCTATTTATAAAGCCTAGTATCCCATATGCCCTTTTTACAGCCTTATCGTCCTGTCCTGCCACCTTCAAGGATTCATTTACCTGCACCCCCAGGTCTCTCTGTTCTTTTACCCCCTTAAGATTGTATTACCAGCCTATATTGCCTCACCTCATTCTACATGAAGTGTTTTTTTTAAAAAAAGGTAGCGTTCGTCAAGTTGAGGCTCATGTCACTTTCTGTGCATTGTGTCGAGGAAGCACCGCTGACATCACTTCCTTGTTTGAAATAATGGCAGCAGGTCCACCAGATTCACACGGCAGATGGAACCTGAATTAATGCTTCCAGAATGACAAAGTGGGGAATTCTAGCTCCTTTAGCGAGGCATATTTCTTCAAAAGCCTTTTGTTTTGCCAGGACTATTATTGGAGGAATGGGGACTCCAGGGTCTCAGATCCCATTGGTTAGCAATGGATACGTGATACATGAAGACTTCATCCTGAAAATGCAAATAAAATGCAATGGAATTTCCTCTTTGATTTCCCCCATTCATTTTTCAGCTTTCACAGGCTGTTGTGTTACTGGCTGTCAGTCCATTGACAGCTGGCTGTGGGTTCTGACAGCTCTGTGACCCTCTGCTGACATTGGGCACAGACACTTTGCACAGAGGGCGATAGTGCATTCTTTAATGAGCGTAACGGACAGGTCTGCATTCAAACTGATTGCAGCCCTGTCGCACTGTACCTTTTCACAGTGCTGTCAAAATGGTCAATTATTATCTTTTAAATGTTTTGTACTTACTAAAGCGAACCCTATTAACCGGTTTTATTTCCTGTTTCTCACTATTCTCTAATTTAGAAGTTACTTTCTGTCGTCCTTGACATACTCCTTGCACTCCTGCCTTCCCAGAGTAGTTCCAGTGACTGCTATTAATGTTTGATTTCCCTCCTGTCTTCCACATTGCTCTCTGTAGCCCAGTAACCTCCCCATCTTCAGGCTTCCCTGCCTCCATTTCTGGCCGTTATTAGTCCCAGCAAGAATCTAGGTAGATTTTTAGAATCAAGATGAGAGCTAGGTTGCCCTGCACGAGAAGTAAAAAATAAAAATCCTGCATAGCTGTTCATTAAGAGGTCTCCCGCAGCCTGACACACTCGCATAGTCTGTATAACAATAAAAATCCTTGCGTGTGATATAGCGTCATTGAGACGCTGCAAAGCGCTTCACAGGATATAGGATATTCAATCTTAACACTTAAACTATCCACAGGTATGTTGCTCCTGCTTTAATCAGTCTTGTCTTCAATTTTAATGTTCAACATTCAATAGAACTCAACGCAATTTGCTGTACTGAGTTTGCTGATAGTATGAATGGGGTGTAGACCCCATTCGCTGCTCACGCACACGGTCAGCTAGCCCACCATCCGCCAGCCAGCTCCTGTGCTAAAAATGGCCAACGTCCAGGTCACCAGATTGCTGCTGACGTAATTTCCAATGTGCTGTATGGGCGCAGGAACATAGACAGCGAATTGATGCTGCAGACCTTGGACATTTTTTCATCGCACAGCTGCAGGCATGCACAGTGAAACCAGCTATCATGGCTCCGTTACAGGGGGCCTTGGGATTTTATGGACCCCAAATACTGCCTTATAATGGGCGTCACTGTATGTTGCAACCGAAAGTGAATTGAACAAAACTAGCTCTAGTTATTAGTGATCAACCAGGACCTCGTGGGGGATGAATTCTCTCACTACTGAGCTCATTATTAGAACTTGGGCTTCATCCAATGTTAATTACAGCCTGCTCTCCCTGTCAGTCAATTGTACTAAACTGTCTGATGGAACATATTCTCACTCTCTTAGTGATATTTCAATACAGCAGTCTGAAATGTTCAGATTTGTTTTTTTGTGTGAATGTTGTCTGAAAGAAAATGACGTGTATTCTGGAAACGATAGGCCTGTCAGTTCTCAAAGGTTATCTATTGGGGTTTTTATACTGAGACACACATTGGGAGAACTGGGCTGCAGCTTTTAATTCTTCTCAATGAGCTGCTAATTACAGCTAAGTATTGTTACAAAGTCACATGGTGCTGGTCTCTGACTGCTCAGCGCTCTGTTTTCCATATTAACTGCGCTGCTAGGGAATTGCACAGAAGCTCATTGTTGCTTCTTGAGCCTGGAGTTGCTTTTTGGGCCTAGCTGATTATAAACAAAGCCTTGCTTATGGCAGCAATTTAAATCGGACGAGATAGTTCCCTCCTGGCGCACTTAATCACAAGGTCCTTAGCTCTTCGCTGTACCTGCAGAGATGAGATGTTTTTTTAAAAAAAATTGCCCTCTGCTGTGTGTGTGGCTCTGTGTGTGTGTGTGTGTTTGTGTAGCGTGCCATGTTTATTGGGCTGGCTCAGTTGTCCATTGCAGGACTGTACTGATCTTAATGCTACCCAGACGTAATAGCCAAGGTCCACGACCAGCAAAAGCCCAACTCTGACAAAGCACAAAGCATGCTCGAAGTTCATACGTTTGCAGTTGTTTCGAAGTGGTTCCTGGTACCGTGGGCTGTTTTTAATGCATTGTACATGTGCAGGATCCTTGTTCTGAAGCAGCCCATAATTAGAGCGAGGTATGAACCCAGACATTTTAAAGCCTCTATATTCTGTGTATCTCACATTTTGAACACAACTGTTCACCTGATGGGATGCGTTTCCACTTGGTTGTTATGTTTATTCAAATGCATTGATTGGCTTATCCTGACGTGCGAGATGAATTAGGTGTTGAGGGCATTTTGTGATTGCATTAGTATATGTGGTAAGTCTGTAGGGAGGTGCTCCGGGTTCACCACCCCTGATATTTATCCCACTCTGTAAAACACAATTATCGCTCATTAAATTGAATGAATTGACCTCCACTAGCTGGAAGTTTACTTTAGACATAATAAAAGTATTTGCTTGGGGCGAGAGAAGTAAAGGCACACTTACAGCTGAGCTGAAGAAACCAGACACCACGCACGTTGGCTCAACAAGCAAACGACTTGCACAGAATGGTAGGTGAATGGGGCATTTTGTGGGTAGCCTGGACTGACAGGCTGAGCATGCATACCAGTCATCTGTGTTAGCGTAGTGGATTGGCTGAAATGTTAACACTCCCAAGCACAGGAGTTTCCTCAGGAAATTATTGGTGTTTTTAAAGACTGTCTTGGAGTTGATGATAGCGGTGAAAGATAGGCAGCAGACTCCTCGGGATGTTGGAATTCTAATCTATTGTATTTTGGTTTTACTTCCAGACGCTTAAATACACTCAACAAGTGTGCCTCTATGAAGCTGGACATCAACCCTCCCAGGAAAAAAGTAAGCACAAATTTCTTCCTTGGTTTCCACCTCTTGAGCTGTTGTAATATCAGCAGTGTCTGTGTCTCTCTCGCATACCTATCCAATGCCCCAGGGGAAATCCTGTATTCACTAATGACTGTTCTGCAATGCACAGCTGAAATGATTGTTGTTGCAGAGTATATTTTTCACTGGTATGATGAGATTTTTTTGGCTGCTGTTGATTTAAAGGAACAGTGATTCTTTCACTGGGCTCAGCAAGTTGACTGCCAGAGTATTACAACACCTATATTCATTGCAGTTATTAAAGATACATGTGAAACACTGAAGTGACTTAACGCACAATAATAATCCTTGCATTTTATATAGGACCTTTCATGAGAATACTTCAAAGCACTGCATAGGATTTACTATAAAGTAGTAACTATTTTGTAGGAAAGTGCAGCAGCCAATTTACTTACAGCAATGTCTCACAAACAGCCAATTGAAAATCCAATTTCATCTGGTGATTACTGGCCAGGATACCAGGAGAAACTCCTTTCACTAGAGTGGATTAATCTATGATAATTAGCAAGAGGGAATTAATAATAATAATAATAACTAGGGAGACATCTATCTATAAAGGAATAATTTCTATTGGTATAGGTGGAAGAAAAACAGGTAAATGGGACTGAATGGATTGCAATTTCAAAGAGCCGAAATGGACCAAGTGTTGTGAATTTCTATGGTTCATGGTTGAACACAGTCAGATGTAGAATAAAGCATCCTTGGCTGAACTCCAAAAGTCAGTAGAACCTTTAGCTTCCCCATTCCCATGGAGGTCATCTATTTGTGCTGTGGGCATGTGTACACATGTCAGATCGTTTCCCTTTTGCATTCCTCTTAGTCAGAGAAAAAAATTTAAATTGGTCAGACAGTATCGGAACGCAAGCCCTAGACACAAATGGACAATTTGCTGAAGAACTGTTACCATCTGTCTCCCTTACGTTGCTTGTTAGTTTCAGACTCTGGATATATAGAAAATGTAAATCAGTCAATGTGTTAAAGGCATCTTGAGGCAAGCGATGTGTAGTCTGTGACTCTGTCAACCTTCCCATTGCAGCTGTGGAAAGTGGGAGGTTATTTTAATTATCCCGCTCACCTTTTATTACCTCACTTGAGTGATATGTAATATATCATAATTGTTATGAGTGGTTGACCTCCATTTGTGGGCTTTGCAAATTGATTTGAGAATTGGGCTACTTGTAGTCTTGCCCAGCTGTCTCACTCGTCTCTGCTCAGGTGCCCACTCATTCCAGCTGGTATCACCGGACAGTAAGAGCAGCGGCCTTAGCTTCCATTTTCTCCTTCCCTATTCCAGAGGCACTCAAGCCAAGCCAAGCACCCGACCAAAAATGTAAGATAGCTACTTCTAATGGGGGGGTTTAGCTTCGCAGAGGGTGGTGAGAATGTGGGACTCGTTGCCAGAAGTTGTGGTTGCAGCAGAAAGCATCAGTGTATTTCAGACAAAACTTGATGAACACGAGGGAGAAGGGAATAGTGGGGTATAGGTGGGAGGAATGTAAACACTGGCCAGATTAGTTGGGCCGAATGGCCTGCTTTTATTTTGTAATGCCACCCTGAGATGAGGTTTCAGAGCCTGGATCGAAAGTGGGTTGTTAATTCATTGTCAGAAGCAGCAATGTCACCAGTAGGAGAGACAAAAGTTAGCAATGCTGAACTGGGACCTGCTCCAGATACAACATTGCTGCAGCTCGAGGCATTGCGAGCTGGGCACAAAGCTGGCAGAGACTGTCGAGTGCCCTAGCCCACAGACCCCTTCTTTATTACCTCTTCCCACCCCCCCACCAACATATATTAGAAATCAGACATCCTCAGTACAAAATGATCAGTGCTGTCAGCTATGCCTGTCTGAGCATGCTCCAATGAAATGATAACCACCCTTTGTTAAAGATGTGGTGAGATGTGTGATGTATTGGCCCCAGTTTTGACAGCCCATTGGCAGAAATTGGTATTTTTAACCCTGCTTTTATTTTACCATCTTGACTCCAAATATTCAGGCACATCTCTTGGCCTCTGCTATCAATTGTTTTGATATTAGTCAGTCTAAGAATTTAAGGCTCTTCTTTAACGTCTACTGTTCATGCTTGAGGTGACTGCTTGTCTGAGTTCATTAACCCTATACATTCCTTTCCCACCCAGCAGTAGTCAGTTTACTTTCCTAGTCTCTCTCAGGTTCGGTTTAACAGTCGCTGGGTGACCACTGATACCAAGTGGCCACTTTGCACACTTTCTTTACCCCCACCTCCCCATCCCCACAACCTGTCACAAGACGTACCTCTTTGACCACTCTTTGTTAAAGATGTGGTGAGACATCTTTTTAATTAGCCCCTGTCTTGACAGCCTGTTGGCAGAAATTATTATTTTTACCCTGCTTTTATTTTTTACCAGTTTAACTCCAAATATTCAGGCACATCTCTTGGCCTCTGCTATCAATTGTTTTGACTTTGGTCAGTACAATACAATACAGGCTGGGTACCTGAGCTGGGGGTTATGGAGCCTAAGAGGGGAAAGACGACCAAAAGCGTGGTCGAAGAGATAGGTCTTGAGGTAGGCTGAGGGAATGGAGGGGAAGAAAGAGAGTACAGAGTAGCCACTTGGTACCAGAGGTCACCCAGCATCCATTAAGCCAAACCCGAGAGAGACGAGGGAAGTAAACCAAATACTGCCGGGTGGGAAAGGAGTATAAAGGGTTAATGAACTCAGACAAGCAGTCACCCCAAACATGGACAATAAACATGATGGAAAAGCCTCAAATTATTGTGCTTTGCGCACATGGGTTATTAGAGTAGTTACACGCTCATCTGATTCAGAAACCAAAATAAATCCATTAAGCTGGATTTGTCAGGATTTCTCCTCTAATCTCAAATTAATCCTTTATTTGCATTTTCACTGATTATCTTTTTGTTTAAAGCAGCAACATGACAAATGTCAAACTGCTTCTGTTTGGAAGGAGATGCTTTAGCTGAGGAGCCGAGTCGATTTTGAAAGATCAGCTCTCGGCAATTTGACGCGTTAGAGGCTCTGACCAGGCATCCCACCAAAGATTTACACTTGCAGTGTTTTTTTCCTGCTACAGAGTGGGGAAATCTCTGTGATCATTTCGGTCCAGCTCTTTTTCTTTAAAACGTCTTTGGTCAGGTTTTCGGTATTGATGTGTTGCACTGCAGATCTGGTTTGTCTGCCTTGAAGCCTTATTTGCTCCTTTGCCCAACTCATCCAGCCAGAGAGCTTGTGTTTCCCAGTGAATCACTTGCTGGTGTTAACTCACCGTCCTGGAATGTTATTTTTCATAGCAGAAAATAACCCAAGGGGCCCGAATGAGTGGGATTTTTCACACCAGTTTGATGTGTAACTGACCTCAGTCTAGGATGTGGGGATGACGCCTCTCACTATGTATGTAGTGCTCATGCCTTTTTATACTTGTCATTTTTAACAGTGAATTGAGTTGAGGATTTTCAGATGTACAGGGTTAAAGCTCGGTTATCCAGGTCCAATATGTCGTGGATGTGATATAAACAAAGTGTCGCCGCTATTTCCTGCACATGCGCACAAGAAGTGCTGCCGTTTTCTGTTGAATTTGTTCCCCTGTGTAATTTCTACAAGAGTCAATCAGAATACGTATCCTACTTGTGAGACACCCTTGCTTTAAGGCTCATAGTGCCCAGTCCTGGCTCTCTACAGCTTTCTTGTTGCAGTTACATCATGTAACCTTGCAACAGTCGGGTCATGGTTGGAATTGGTTAATGAAGCAGAAGAAAGTTTTGATGGGAAAGGTCTATGGGGAGGGTTATTCATGGAAATCATTAGGCAGTCCACTTGCAATCCGCAGTCGCCTTGTGGCTGATTGCATTTACACTGTCACTGAATGCAGAGCAAATGTTGGCCCGCATTGTACACTGTATTATTATGGGATGAGCCTCATTGAACAATTAGAATCGGAGCAGCGAGAATTAACTGCAATTTATCGATTCCTAAAAGGCCATATCAGGACTAATTGATAAATTGGAGACAGTGGTTCCTTTAATTCACCCAGCACATGTCTCTAATTTTGTCCAAACATAAGGAAATCTGGGATATAAGACCCCCCCCACCAAAAAAAAATATGAAATGTACATCATTGCTGTTATTTTATTGTAACTTATCCAGTGGAGGCGGATGATTCTATGAAATTTACAAAAGGGGATTCGATATCTGTGACAGAAATTGATTTGAGAGGAGTGAGGGGTAGTAGCTTGTGAGTTATATTTTACTTTGGGACTGGGATGGCCTGTGAGACCGATGGTATGTTCTGGCCTGCTGCAATCCTCAGAACGTTATAAGGGAACAGGAACTACAATCGGGCCACACTTCAGCGTATTGCAGGTTTGGATACAGCCCAGGTACACTGTGAACCCGAAGCTCACTGAACTGCGGTGAACTTCCTGCTTCCAACAACGACCCGCCTGCTTCTTGCGTGTGGCTCAGTGGGTCCGGGGCGCCAGTCGTGTGTCCCCAACTATCACTGGAAATGCTCCAGAATTGCTGATCAGCAGCCAACAACAACTTGCATTTATAAAGAGCCCTTCACACGAGGTAGTGTTCTGGAGCGCTTGACTATACTATATGTAGCAGCCGTGCTCTACTGCTCTCATTTGCTTTCAGAGGGGAGTTCCCATGAATTGACATAACACTTGTTGGATATTTTTTGGTTGCCAGAAGGATTCTCTACTCGTTTTCCTTAGTAAGGATTAATGTTAGAAATTGCTTTGGTTAGGGCCCTTATTCAAGCTTTTTGCACCCAAAGATATGATTTTATAGCTTAAAACCTGCACCAGTGGGTACCGTGAAAACCAGAACTACACCAACAACAACAACCTGCACTTATATAGCGCCCTCCGCGCAGGGTAGCGTTTCAGAGCGCTTAACTGTGGCGGAGCCTGACTCCGAGCCAGGGGGAGGGGGCTGTAAGCGCGATCGAAGAGGATAGTTTTCAGGCGGGACTTGAAAAAAGGGGAGAGAGGGGGCAAGGCGGAGGGATTGAGGGAGAGTTTTCCAGAGTTTTGGTGTGTAGTGGCTGAAAGCACGACCTCCGATGGTGGTGCGAGGGACGAGCAGGAGGCCGGTGCCAGTCATGCGGAGGTGCCGGGTGGTGGATTGGGGAGTGAGGAGGTCGGAGAGGTAGGGAGGTGCCAGGGAGTGAATGGATTTGAAGGTGAATTATGTTTGGAAACAAACATAATGGAACAAGGTGGAAACAAGATGTTTGGAAACAAACCCTTTCCAAACATCTTGTTACAGTCGTACTTGGCCTGACGTGATGTGCCCTTGTGATTACCAGCATACTGGTGTTTCACCTGCTATGCCTCTCGAGCCTTGTCTTACATGGCTTAGATGTACTAAATGGCTGTACATGTACTACAAAAACATCTAACCCTGAGTTTAATTTATTGCACTCCAGAAAGGTACAGAAAGTGAATATGCTAATCATAATGATAATCCTTGCATTTGGTATAGGTCCTTTCATGTCGGGAGGAAGTCTCCAAGAGTTTCCCAGTATTTACAATGGAGTGTCTATTTGTAAGTGAATGCAGCAGCCCCATTACACGTAGCAATGTCCCACAAACAGCATTGAAGTGAACAACCAATTTAATGTTGGATGATTGTTGTCAAGGATACAGTCTTTTTTAAAGTAGTGCCATGGCATCTTTAAAGTCCACCTGAGCAAGCAGAAAGAAACTAGATTTAACATATCATCCGAAGGATGGATCCTCCAACAATGCAACACCCCAGCACTGCATTGGAGCGTCAACGTAAACTATGAACAAGTCCCGGTTTGGGGCATGAACCCACAATCTTCTGATTTAGGGTACTACTACCTAGCTATGCTGTTAGCCAGATGATGCACTTCATGCTAACCCTGACTTTTACATTAAAGTTCTGTTCTTTCCCAGCTCAGCTTCTCGTGCACAGAGTGCTGGTCGCGCTATCCTAAAGCTAATTTGTTGGTCTAACAGCAACCTCAAATGGCAAATCAGGGAGATTTAAATTAGCCATTAAATTCGAATCTGTTTGCTTCCGTTTACTGAAGACATTTTCAACGCAATCTGGTTGACTTAGCACAACAGAAGAGAATGACATAAACATGTAATGTGGTAAATGTTGAGTAAGGGGCGGAGGAAAGGGGGATGTTATCTCCATATCCTGTTATGAAAGTAGTAAAGCAATCACAGGGCCCTGTTGAACGTATGCTGCACTGGCACATTTTCTACATGTACCTCACACAGCCATGAGTAAGGGGGGAGTGAGGGGATGTGGTGGAGGATGTAGGCCATTGATAGGAGGTGGGGGAGAAATGAAATGGGGGGGAGAGAAATTCAGCGATGGGATGGACATATACAGCAGATGTGAAGGTTCTGGCAGGAAATGATACAAACAAGAGTGAGCTAGGAAATAGGAGCAAATGTGGGAATCAAAAAGGAGTGAGCTTGCAGCCAAGTGCAGCTGCAGAATATTTTGCTGCAGTGCCTTGTCTTTCAAAAGATTATTCTTATCTGTAATTTTTGCTTGAAAGGATTTTTTTTAATGCCTAAATGATGAGCTGCAATACCATTTCTTTTTTATGTGGCCAAGTTAGGTCTAAGTCACTCAGATGAAATAATCCCTCCAAAACCAAAAACAATAATAAATTGGCCATTTTCAATCTACGACTGTTTGTGGGACATTGCTGTGCGCAATTGGCTGCCGCGTTCACCCACAAATATGCAGTCAATTCACTTTACAGTGTCTTCTGTGAAGCGCTTTGGGACATCCTCCCGATGTGAAAAGCGCTATATCAAATGCAAGGATTATTATTATTATTATTATTATGGGTGATCATGAGGTACAGCTAAACTGAAGTGGCTTTCAGGCACGTGGGGTGTGGCACAGCCAGTTTGCAATGTATCTGCCAGTATTACTGTGCAATCTGGCTGCAGGATGTTGCTAAATGCATACTTTCCGTTTTGTTTTCAAAATGATAGTTTAGGAGCTTTTAACTGTTTTTTGCGGCTTTGTATGATTCGAGGAATTTTTATGAAAATATTAATACTCTTGAAATATTGTTTGTATTTTGTTGGGTGTGAAGGGGTGCTGGCATTCTAAAAAAAACATTGGAAATGATAGAAAATTGGTGCCTAAGAAATTAAGTGTTTAGCGGAATATGGATGGAGGCTGGCACTCGCTGACAGCACAAAACTGCCAAGGATCTAGCTAATGTCCATCAAAAATTATAAGGCCATCTCAAGCCAGCTAGCAAGTATGTCAAGCAAATCTGTATTTGTATATAAATAACATTGCCCATGTTTGGAAGGAAGTGTAATACTGGCAGCTAGCTTGGGAATTGTGATTTGCCGTGTTGAGGCCTGAAAGGCCCCTTGGGTTTAGGTTTAATATTGTCTTAATATTTAAGATCATATGCAGGACTTGGCAAAATTTTTCAGCTCAGTATTGTTTGGTATCCCTGGTTCCACAGCACTTTTATGATCTTCCAAGTTTAGATTAAATGTAAATGGTGTGTCAACTTGGCTCAGTGGCTCATTAGTTCCCTCTTGCCTCTGAGTCAGAAGGTTGTGGGTTCAACAACAACAACAAGATTCCATTTATTGAGCACCTTTCACGTCGGGAGGACATCCCAAGGCGCTGTACAGTTAGGTCAGGACCCGAGGAAGGGGGAAATGGTCAGGGTGAGGGGAGGGAAGGGAGGGAGCGAGGAGAGGGTAGAGATTCTAGAGAGGAGCTGAAGGCACGGTCAGAAAAAATCCTACATCAGGAACTCATAGTCTACGATGACATTCCAATGCAATGTTGAGGGTTTGTTACATTGTCGAAGGTGCCATGCTTCGGATGAGATTTTAAACTGAGGACCCGTCTGCCTGTTCAGGTGGGCGTTAAAGATCCTATGGCACTATTTGAAAAGAGAAGGGAGTTCCTCCCAGTGTCCTGGCTAACAATCTCTCAAGTAAAATTGTTAATTCATCTCATGTCTCTTTGTGGGACATTGCTGTACGCAAAGCTGGCTGCTGCATTTTCCTGCAAATACGCAGTCACTCCATTTCACAGTAAATCCTGTGAAGCGGTTTGAGACATGCTGCTGACGTGATAAGTCGCTATATCAAATGCAAGGATTATTATTAATTTATGTAAGTTTTTTTTTAAGCTTTTAAACAATCGATGCCCTCACTTGAAGCCACATCTCTTTCAGTATCTTCCTGTATGAGGAAAATCTGGAAAACATCAATGAAATAACTTTTTTTTATAAAATCATACAAAAGTGGGTTGGAAAGATGTGGTGGGAGTGGGACCAACTGAAATTGTGTAGATCCGATTTGTTAGCTAATAAAAAGAAAAGGCTCATTTGTCCTTGGGTTGTTTTGTTTGCAGAGTGAAGACTCCGATGAAGATGACTTGTGCGCAATCAGCGACAAATGGACCTTTCAAAGGAGCAGTAAACGATGGTCACGACTGGATGATATTGATGCGTTATTTCACAGGCAAGACAGTGGCCACCTTCCCACGGGGGGAACCAAACTGAAAAACACAACCAGCAGCGAGAGCGTACTGACCGATCTGAGCGAACCCGAGATCTCCTCCATTCACAGTGGGAGTAGCGGAGGAAGCGACAGCAGGCGTGTAGCTGGTGGTAGATCTGCAGAAACAAACTGTGTGACCACAGAGCGAGCCGAGAGCTGTCTACGGAACTGGGGGGAAACCACAGTCATGCGCGATTCCACCTCACCAAACAGCTCATTCCCACAGGCTCCAAAAGACATTACTAACTATACGCACTATAGTTTCACTCTAAAACCTGAAAAGAATTCAAGAACCAAGGCGAAGAATTTACTGAAATGCATGGAAACCTTGAGACCAAGAGCCTCCCAAAGTAAGTTAAAAGGCAGTGTAAGATCTGCCGGGCTGGTTATCAGTGCACCTGTACTGCAGCAGGAGCCAGAGTGTCTGAGGACCATGCATTGCACGGAGATCGTCAATGGGAACCTCAGTAGCTTAGCAAAGGATTCGACTAAGAGTGGATTTTCCTCATCCACTCAATCCAGTAGTGACAGCCACTCAGAAACGAGCAGCAGTGCTGTGAGTACACCCTCGTTAAAGTCACGCAAGCGTCATCATGGCAACAAGAGGAGCGGCATGTACCTGGAGGATGTGGACGTTCTCGCAGGGACAGAGATGAAACAGGTGGCGGACCAGAATCGCAAGAACGAGTTTCATTCCCAGGAAAACCTCGTGGTCCACATTCCAAAGGACCACAAACCGGGGACCTTCCCAAAGGCACTTTCCATCGAGAGCCTTTCTCCCACGGACAACTCCAACACCGTGAACTGGCGGTCTGGGAGCATCTCTCTGGCAAAGCAGAGGTGCAGCATCAACAAGGCAAAGAACGCCTACCCGAGAGGGAGCAGAATTAGCATTTACGACAATGTGCCAGGGTCCCATTTGTACGCCAGCACGGGCGACTTGTTGGACTTAGAGAAAGAAGATATTTTTCCTCACCTGGATGACATCTTACAACACGTGAATGGGCTGCAGCAGATTGTGGACCATTGGTCTAAGAACGTGCTCCCCGAGCTGCAGGACGATGAGCTTTCTGTTTGTGATCCCGGATCCCCTCAGTTCCAGTCTTCAAATCAGATCATGTTAGATTTTGAAGGCCATTCGGTGTCCGATGGCCGGACTACACCCAGTGATCTTGAAAGAGATGGCCATTCCCTCAATGATTCCGACACAGTGGGAATGAGAGAACGCAGGGACTCTGGTGTAGGCGCATCCTTAACCAGACCTAGCAGGTTGGTAACACATCGAAGAGGGGGAAAGGGGAATGTACGTGATGTGATAATTATCATAGTTGCCTTTTCTTGCCCTTTCCTTCGAAAATATATTTGGAACTGAACCCGTGTTCTCCCCTTCCTCTGCAAAATGTTTTTTTGTCTCTCTCCAGACTCTTTCAGACTCAAATTGGCTTTGTCTCAGTTATGAACTTAGCAACATATAGTTTTGGGTATTCCTGGCCTCTTTAACTGAATTGACTTCTTTTTCTTAACCTTCTATAATTATTTTTTGGATTACTATTTGGCTAAGCAACACGGAATCCACACTACCTATAGCCCAATTCAAGGGTTATCCACACCAATTCACCATATAAGGTGCTGCATTCATGTCTCAGCCTGGCACTCTTGCCTCTTGAGTCAGAAGGTTACGGATTCAAGCTCACGTTGGGATTTAGAGCCCATATATGTCTATGCTAATACTTCAATGCAGTACTGGGGCTGTGCTGCATTGTTGGAGGTGCCATCCTTCAGATGAGATGTTCAAGCAACCTGTTCATTAAAGATCACATGACGCCAATCGAAAAGAGAAGGGAGTTTCTCCAGGTGTCTTGGCCAATGATCTCCTCCAGTAATATCGGTCGTTCACTTCACTGCTGTTTGTGGGACAATGCTGTGTGCAAATTGGCTTCCACGTTTGCCTGCAAATAATAATAATAATAATCCTTGCATTTGATATAGCGCTTTTCACGTCTTCTAGACGTCCCAAAGCGCTTCACAGAATATACTGTAAAGTGAATTAACTATATTTGTGGGCGAACGCGGCAGCCAATTGCGCACAGCAATGTCCCACAAACAGTCGTGGATTGAAAATGACCAATTTATTATTGTTTTGTTTTGGAGGGATTATTATTAGGCGTGTGGAGTAAGGAAACTTGCCCAAGGTTTCGCCCTCTGCCTGGAATTGAACTCGGGTCTCTCGTTTACAAAGCGAGTGCTCTAACCACTGAGCTACAGGACTCCACAGTCAAAGTACACAGTCAATAATAATAATAATAATCCCTCCAAAAACAATAATAAATTGGTCATTTTCAATCTACGACTGTTTGTGGGACATTGCTGTGCGCAATTGGCTGCCGCGTTCGCCCACAAATATACAGTCAATTCACTTTACAGTGCTTTCTGTGAAGCGCTTTGGGACATCCTCCCGACGTGAAAAGCGCTATATCAAATGCAAGGATTATTATTATTATTACACTTTATATGTTCTGCGAAGCCAATTGTAGAAGCCCATCCCCACCCTGACTGAGAGCAGTTAATTGTCCACAGACTGGGAAATCAACCTGTGACCTTCAACCTGCGTCCACCCCAAAATAATCAAATACCAGGCACCGCTGTTAGTAGCTGGTCCATCTGTGAGCTCAGTTATGGTCTGTTTTCTAGTAGTAGGTTTTTGGATCTTGTTGCATTCTGAGTTACAGCCAGTTCACTGGTCAATCAGGCATTAAGGAGCATTTTCTGAGGGCCCTTGTGATTCCCAGTATATTTGAATCAATGTCAATAGATTTTTCTTAATTAGAATTCCCACTGGGCATCCCATTTCAATTTATTAAGAAGCTGTAACAGTATTTTGACTGAGAGCATAAATCTGAGACTTGTAGAAATAATGGTTAAATTCCTGCTACTTTAGTTAAGCATTTAATTGCCTCATTATGGTAGCCATGGTTTCAACTATCGGGTGCTTCAGTTGTGCTGTTTGTTATCAAAAACGCTTAAACAGAAGCATCTGGTTTATTTTGTATTTACAGTAGAGAGCCTGATACCTGTCCTAATTCAGACCAGTCCCATTGTAGATATGAAAACTGGCATCACAAATTAAAATTAAAATAATAGTCCTTGCATTTTTTGCAAGGACTATTATTTTGATAATAGTCACCTTGTACATTGGAAGAATGTGACAATACAGGGACTCAAAAGCATCGGAATATCAAAGTGCTTCATGGGATTTACTGTAAAGTGTAGTGACTATTTTGTGGACTAATGCTACAGAATACAATGTCCAGTATACACAAAAAAATCTCTCCCACAAGGAGTTAAACTGTAGTATTACACAATGCCAAACCTCTCTTTCTTTTCCCCTCACTCTCATTCATTTGCTCTCACTGACTCACACTGTCTCTTCAGCCCCAGTCCCGCTCACTCACCCACATAATTAGACAAGGAATTAATTTGTACCTAACTTGTGGCTCCTTCAAATATCTGAATAGATGCAATGGAGACGTCGTCCCACACTACCAATGCTTTTGAGCCCCTGTGTTGTCAGTCTGCCACAGCCATTTGCTTTATATTAATTACCGTGCAGAATTGTGCTGACGTATTTGCCCACAATAGTAGTCATTCCATTTCACAGCAAACCCTGTGAAGCATTTGAACTGTCCTTCCGACATGATAAAGCACTATACCAAATGCAAGATTATTATTACTATTATTATTATTTATAAATGTCCAATGCCACCTCTTGCCATGACTGGATCTTCATTCTTAGGTTGGTTCTATTATGAAAGTGCGATGACTGTGAAATACCCTTGCCTTTAACCAGCCCCCTTTTTCTGATCGATGGTGATACCCTGTTGGCTTTTAAGATGAAACAATAAAATCCTCAGTAATACAAAAATCTTAAGATTTTCCAATAAAAAATCTTACAATGAGCTTTAAAAATGTATTGCTTCCTATTTACTGCGACTCCTTGAGAGTATTTATAGACAGCGCTGTCCTTCGGATGAGACGTTAAAATGAGATCATGTACAGGTGGCCGTTAAAGATCCCATTGGCACTATTCAAAAGAGTTTTTCCTGGTGTTCTCGTTAACAATTCTCCAGTTAAAAAATAACCAGTTCATGTCTGTCTGTGGGACATTGCTGTATACAAATGTCTGTGCCGTGTTAGCCTATAAATACAGTCACCACGCTTTATGGATATCTCTGTGGAGCACTTCGAGACTTGTTGATTTATTAAGGCACCATATCAAATGTAATTGTAATTTTGTTGGGTGGAAATCTGAAAACAGGATTTGCAACCTGAAACATGGGATTTTTTTGGTTTGTATACAAGTTAGAAAAGCATCTGTGTGTTCATCTCCAGTTATTTTAGCCGTTGTAATTCAATTCAAAGTACCTGTTGTTTTATGATGCTCCTTGAGTATGGTTCATTTGGCTTCATTGCCCTATTTGCAAAACTGCCTTCTCTAAATAAGACACAACAACAACCACAACTTTGATTTATATAGCGCCCTCCACGCCGGATAGCGTCCCAGAGCACTTCACAGTAACAGATCCTGGGACCGAGCCGGGGGAAGGGGGAAGAAGGTGACCAAAGCGCAGTCGAAAAGAAAGGTTTTCAGCAGAGATCTGAAAATAGGAAGAGAGGGAATGAGGCGAAAGGAGTGAGGAAGGGAGTTCCAGAGCCTTGGGGCATAGTGGCTGAAGGCACAGCCACCAAGGGTGGAGCAGTGGACTCGGGGGACAAGGAAGAGGCCAGACCTGGAGGAATGAAGGCAACGGGCACTGTTTTGAGGAGAGAGGAGTTCAGAGAAGTAGGGGAGTGCAGAGGAGTGGAGGGATTTGAAGGCAACACAACAGTGATATCTGTATGATCTATGCTGGTAATTTTGATCTATGCTGGTAGTTTTGTATATTTTCCATAGAAAGTAAGGGGTGTGGATTATTGAGTTTCATCCCCAATGTGCAGAACTAGAGGGTTTAATATCATTGCCCTAATCCTCATGAATGTATTGTCAATGCTAATAACCATTGTGGGTTTCACAAGGGAGGAAATAATAATATAATAATAATAATCCTTGCATTTGATACAGCGTCTTATCATGTCGTTGAGATGTCTCAAAGTGCTTCACAGAATATATTGTAAAGTGTAGTGACTGGGTATTTTGTGAGCAAAACACAGCAGCCAATTGCGCACAGCAGGGTCCCACAAACAGTCATAATCTGCAATATGAAAGATAGAGGCTTGAAGGGTGTGGGGACAGGACAGTGAGATTGAAAGTACAGTTACTCTGAGAGCTGGTCAGAGCTGATGGGATGAATGGCCTTCTTCTGCTCTGTAAACTTCTGTGATTCTATGTTTGAGATAACACACACTCATTTCTGCTAATTATTAGTGCAATTGATCTCATCCTCGTACCCTTATTGTGGCCTCTGTATTAACCTCTATGCAATGCATCCTAGGTAAATAAATTTATTCCCTGATCTCAAAGTCATTGAGCAAAATAAAGAAATGCTATTCCTCCATCATCACATTTTCACCATTGAAACACAGTCTCTCAAACAGCAATTGCCCCCTGTGCAGTATTTCCTCATTTGATTCCCTGTGAGAGTCTCCAAGGTGTTGCTGGAGAGTCCACTGTTTGGGAAAGTGGCTCAGGTTACAGGTGGGTACACACAACAGAGCTGAAGTGACAGCTGTGGTCAAAATCCAGGAGCAATTCTTGGGTTTTTAGTGTTTTTTAAAAAAAATAAGGAAAATGTAATGTTCTGCATTGTTGCTGGTAAAACAGCTACATCAGAAATCCCGTTGTCAACAATACAGTATATTGTTCCTTTAATGAAGGCTTTGTAGCACTTCAGTAATACATGGTTACTAACTTTTGCTGGCTGTCAGATGATCTATTTCTTGACTGCTCCTCACTTTACTTTCTTCCCTCCGCAGGCACCAAAGGCTACGGTGGCCCAGCTTTCAAATTTCACATCGTCTAAGCGTCACGTTGGCTTCACTGCAAATTAGCAACCAGTCAGCAGCTCAGCTCAACCTGTTACAGAAGTTCGCCCTCCTTCGACTCACAGCTATAATGGAGAAATACTCCATGTCAAACAAGCACGGCTGGACTTGGTGAGTTATCACTGATGAGCAGGAAATAATAAGAGGCTAAGTCAGAGTCGAACATTCAAATGGATCCAAACTGGTCATTTAAAAAATAAATTAGCAAGTAGATCCAATATTTCTGAGGTGACTATGAATCTTATCCTCATCGTAACTTTTATTCTCATTATAGTGCCACCTGATTGTACTGGGAATACTTTTCCATTTCAGAGACTCTTTTGTTTGCTAAATCCAGCAACCACACACAAGCCGTGGATTAGATCATGACTTGAGTTCTGGAGTTTGTTTTGCTCAAGCTGAGAGTGCTAAATGTTCCTCTATGAATTTTGTATTTGTATAAAGAAAATTGGTATCTGATTTTACATTTTAGGGGATTCTATACAACAATATCAAAATAATAAAATATCTTATCCCAAACCGGATGGGGAGCGATTCTAGACACAATGGAATCTGCATTGAGGGATTCTCAAAAGCATTTGTCAATAGAAAACCCCAGACACTTTGTGGCAGGCTCTCTGGAACTCAGAGATTAAATTATAATGTTTGCTGACAACAGTCGGTGCTTAATTTCAACCTAACTTCTGATAGAAGAACATTGTCTGGGATTATAGATATGAATTGGACTTTGAGTTTATATTAAATGAAAATATTTGTTTCTTGGAATAAATTAAACCGTTTTAAAATAAGCAAATCTAGTAGACAGTAAAAATCACTGCATATGCTAAATCTGAATTGTGTGACAGTATTTTAATTTAAAAGTACGAAGTAGATATTTTAACTATAGTTACTGGCTGAAGTCAAAAGGATCCCCCAGTCCAGAAATTGTCCAGGAAAAGCTTTGTTGCAGGAAGTGAGCTGTGCTTTGACCTGTAAAAGTTGGATGTTTGTCTTCATTTTTCACATGCTGTCGAACTCAGTCAGGCTTCTGTCCTCCTTCCAGCATTGCTGGGATTTACAGGACTCCTTTTGTCAGTTTAACTCTATAATTATAGATGTTTAAACAGTGGCCTGAAATAGAACACTAGCTCTTTTTGCCTTTAGAGCTTGGGCAGAATAAAGGTCTCCCTTACGATTGATAGCTGTGAGGGATCTTAAATAGTACAAGTTTTCACAGTGCTAACCCTGTCCTCAGCAGACCTGATGCCATGCATATCCTGAGGGTAACTGGCCACCAGTAACACAAATTGAGTGAAACTAGCCGGGATGGCTGGTGATATAACTGGCATGTGGATACTCTTATGAGCACTGGTCAGTGGGAGTGAAAATGCTTAATTTACAATCTGGATTTAGCAAGGATAATAAATATTGAATCTCGTTGGTAACTGGATGTGTGTCACACCAGTCTGTGCAAAACAACTCCACTTCCGACATGCCCAGAAGGAGACCATAGCCCATGTTCGGTCGTACAGAACGATTGAACATTTTGAAACCTTCAAGAGATACTAGATCATCTTATTTTGAAATGGTTTACTTTATTCCAAGATACAAATGTTTTAATTTAGTATAAATACTTTGTGAATACTGAGTTCTAGACTGCAAGATAAGTAAATCTGCTCTGCTATGTCACTTCTGTTACGACTAGCTTCTCATTGTCTCACTTTAAGAACTTATCAACACAAACCCCAAACTCGAAGTGGTGGTTAAATCAAATAGTGTAACTTTAAAAGGAAGATAGACCGTTACATGAGGGGGATAGAAGGGAATGGGAGGCAGTAAGGAATGCGTGGAGTATAAATACAGACAGTATTGACCTGTTGTTCGTTCTTTGTAAACTTCTGTCTTTCTGAACTCAGAACAATGTGCATTTGCTGAAGATTCACCTCAGTTTTAATTTGAAGGTGGATGGAATGAACAGTTATACTTTTTTNGTAAACTGCATGGATTTTCAGTTTCATATGAAACTGAAAATCCATCCAAATTCTAAGGTTAATCCAATTTAAATCTGATTTTTGTTTTAATATTATAATCCTACATCATCATCATCATACCAAATAGAAAATGTTGTACAATTCAACTACAATTTGGGTTATTTCCTCAAGATTTCTATTATCTTTTAAGATTTCAGTGTATGTGAACAGATCTAATCTGATGAAGTGATTTGCTGTTGTTGACCAAATTATCTCAATAGGCAGTGTGCAACAAGGTGATGAGTTTATACGTGGAGCTATGTGTAGTCCTGTAGCTCAGTGATAAGAGCACTCGCCTCACAAGCAAGAGACCTGGGTTTGATTCCCGGCAGGGTGAAACCTTAGGCAAGTTTCCTTACTCCACACGCCTGATAATAATCACAACAGAGGCTTAGATGAAGAAGGCATTTTGGTCGATTTGATTTCATCCTTCCCGAATACCAACTCTACATTTTCCCCATTTACAGCATCAAACCTCTTGATACTATGTAGAGCTGCAGTGAGATAGGTTTAACATGAAGATTTAATTCAGTGTAATGTAATTTCAGAATTTATCCCTCTGTAAACTGCTGCTTCGTAAATCAACTGCTACACCATGTTTCCTTTAGACTATGCAGTACTTTTCCCTGAGTGGTAACTTATATTTGCATATCAAAAAAGGATTGCATGTGTTAAGATGAGAATCCCAGACATCAGAAAAAGCATATCACAATTGCGATATCACAAAAGATTGAGCAGGTTATACAATTAGTGGATGCTAAGGATACATCTATAGATTGAACACGCTTCCAAATTGTTGCTGTATGAAATGGCATTTTCTTTTGTAATGTTTAGGAGTTTTCTTTACCAATGCTAATCGCTCCTACATCCCAACTTTTGCCTGAGAGAGAGAAAGAGATTATCTCCTGAATAAAATGCCTCCATTTTACAAAAAAAAGGAACATTCCTTTATTGTTAACATCTAGTTTTGTTCGGAAATGATTTCAAAAACAAAATCGGCAGAGCCTGTACTGTTCTCATCGCCTGCCACCCGTCAACTCTTCATTTGTAAGTGAATTGAAATATGCTGTTGGCTTTTGCAGGGCCGTGCCAAAATTCATGAAGAGGATGAAAGTGCCTGACTACAAAGACAAGAATGTCTTTGGTGTGCCTTTGATAGTTCACGTACAGAGGACAGGACAGCCCCTCCCTGTGAGCATTCAGCAAGCCATGCGTTTTCTGAGGAGCCAGTGTCTAGATCAGGTATGTGCTGAGTCTCACAATGAGTGCATTGAAGGCCAGATTTACTGCTTTATCATTGACTTGGAAAGGCATTAGTTAACTGTTGCACTCACTTGACTGTGGCTCATATTCTATATCTGCCCTTGTGTTGAAGCACAGAACCACGTAAGGATCTTTTCGCTCATCTGTAGAGTGTGCATCTAAACTGCTCAGATGTAAACCAGGGCAGACTTTGTGAAGACTTGTCTTCAACGCAAACCACTACTGAGTAGCCTTATGTGAGGTGGGCAACCACCATGCTGCAGGGGTAGCAATTATTTCTGTATGATTCAATGGAAGTACATCAAAGCACAAAATAAAACTCAAATAAAAATCAGGAGGTGGTGGAATTGTACAATATTTAAGTGATTTTTACACAGCCACAGACATCAGTAGACATTGCCATTGTCTTAAGGAATCCAGTTTTGTTGTCAACCTATATAGTAGTTTCCATTCACAAATATGATGGCCTCAAATGGTTAGTTTGGCCACAAATTCACAGTCAATCCACTTTACAGTGTATTCTGCAAAGAACACTTTGAGACATCTCAATGACACTGAATCTATATATCTAATGCAAGGATTACTATTAAATCTCTATACAGATTTCTCCGTGAGTGCAGACAGATTAGAAATTTCATGTTTTGTATGCAACCTCACAATTCAACACAACCCAACCCCAGTGAGTTTTCTTTCTTACTACAATTCCCTTAGGTACCTAACTAGGTTTGAATCAGTGTGGGTTGTAATTTTGCACAGAGAATGCTCCTAAACCTACACTTACACTGAGACGTGACTATTTTCTAGTCGATGCAGAACAAAATTAGTTTTCAAGAGTGAACCAGATAGATGTCTTAAAGGAATAATTTGTAGTGGAATGGGAAAAAGGCAGATAAATGGAACTGAATGGATTGCTCTTTCAAAGAGCCAGCACAGAAACAGATGTCCAATTGCTTTCCTCTGTGCTGTAAATTTATATGGTTCAATAGGACCTTGAATTTGGGACAATCCATTTTTCTTTGTTTTTAAGAATTGGGCATTTTTATTCAACTGGAACAAAAGTTTGAGGGATTTATTAAATGTTGAGATTAAGCTGCTCAATGTTGAACTATTTTTAAAAAATACTATTAATACATTTTAACAGTTTTTTGAGGAATTTGTGATTTTCTAAAATATTTTCAGTGAATGAAACAAATGTTTGAGATGGATTTTAGTGAGGAGTTTCACTTGTTTACATTGTTAGCCCTGCACCGTGCTATTGCTTCTGACAGTGCTTTGAGACATTCTCCCGACTTGAAAGGCACTATCCAAATGTAATTTGTTATTGTTGGGATTATTGGAATGCATTAAATTCTGTTTCAAACTGCCCCAGCCTTGTACTTATAGCTATATAGCCTAATACAGCACAGAAACAGGACATTCTGCCAAAATAGTCCATGCCTCGTTTCATATACTGATTAGCTTTCTTCAATCCCATGTTCTTTTAGGTTGGTCTCTTTAGGAAATCCGGAGCCAAATCTCGAATTCAAGCTCTCCGACAGATGAACGAGGCTTCGCCAGATAACGTCTGCTACGAGGAGCAGTGCGCCTATGATGTAGCCGATATGCTGAAGCAGTTTTTTCGAGACCTTCCTGAGCCTCTCCTGACAAGCAAACTTGGAGAGACCTTCCTTCACATCTACCAGTGTAAGCATTTCTCTATTCTTGGTGAGGTTTAAGGTTTAGACTTCAGCACTGTACACAGTTTGAGCAGTGAATGAGTGATGTGTATGCTGTAGGACCATTTCTTCCTTTCCAGCAGATGGTGAAGATTGAGAGGAGGCCATTGAAATTAATGTACGGTTTACCCAATCTTTGCACTCGCAGGGTTCACTGACGGGCAGACTCAGATACAAAAAGATACTGAATGGATTTCCTACCTTCCCTGCCCTTTGCATGCTCTTATCTGTCATTGAAACAATTAATGGCATCTTTATTTCCTGAACGTTATCCTAACTCTGCTGCCTTCTGTCCTGTAGATGTCCCCAAAGAGCAGCGTCTCCAGGCAGTGCAGGCAGCCATCATGCTGATGTCAGATGAAAACCGGGAGGTCCTGCAAACTCTCCTCTGTTTCCTTAGCGACGTGACTTCTGTTTCAGAGAATCAGATGACTGCTATGAACCTTGCCGTCTGCCTGGCACCTTCTCTCTTCCACCTGAATTTAATTAAGAAGGGGTGTTCCTCACCAAGGTGGGCATCCTGTCCCAATTGATCAGCGTGGTAGTTAGTTACTGCATATCATTTAGTGATAATTCGCTGTATTAAATGCACGGACTATTATTAATTCTTTGCTAGTTTCTAGCTAGGCAACTTGAGCAGGATTTTTAATGACATCAATTTAAAGGATTGCCAATCTTCAATGATTTCAGTTCATTGAGGATTCAGTGAAAATGGGGACTGCTTGCCTTGTTAACCTTAAGTTAATTGACTCAATTAACTTGAGGTTAACAAGGCAAGCAGTTCCCACTATTTGGAGCAGATTCTGATTTAAATGGTTCCAGTGAAGTTGACTGCCTTTTCAGGTCAGAGATTGAAATTGGTTTTTTGCTCATCAATTCATTTCTCATCTCCATTAATAGGATCAGGGAAGGAGTAACTTTCAATAGATTCAATAGTGTAAAATAGATTAAAATTCACCAAAATGAAAAGGTTCTGTGTGCATAAGATGTGGAATATTGCATGAACATCTGCTTTGTAATGTAAATTAGATGTTCGAGCTATTTTTATTAGAACCAGTCACATAAAGTCATTACATTATCAAATCACAACAATAACTTACACATTGGGAGGACATCCCCAAGGCGCTAGACTGTCAGGGATTTGGACCCCAGCTGGGGTTGGGATCGGGAGAGGTGGAGGGCAGGGAGGGTAATAGTAGGAGGATGACCAAAGGCACAGTGGAAGAGGAGAGTCTTTAGACGGGCCTTGAAGGAGGCAAGGGAGGGAGTGAGGCAATAGGACTGTGGAATGGAGTTACAAATGGTGGGGCAGAAAGACTAAAGGCCCGACCGCCAATGGTGGGATGGGCCGGGTGGGGGACATAGAGCAGGCTGGAATCTGCTGAGCGGACAGGTCTATATAGAGCTAGCAGGTCACAAGAGTTTAGGGAGGAACAAGGCCGTGGAAGGTTTTGAAGGCAACCACAGAGACAATGTGGTCACTAAGGCAAAAATATTCACTTAGCAAAATCAATCAGAGTGTTGAGAGAAAAGCGTAGCTTTCCTGTTCCTGGGAGTTGACCTTTTAATTCAAGCTTCACTTCTGTTTATCAATAATCTATCTCATCACATGATGTATATCTTTTATAGAGGCAAAATAATCATAGGATTAATGCAAAACGACATGAATAAAATTAATCATTCACTTAGGTGCTTATAACAATGAGGTATGGTAACCATTAGTTAATTCCCATGTTTGTTTAGTATATGGTAGTGGTTTGTGGTTTATTTAAAACTTAGTACTGTTGAACTTGACTGAGGGTTTCCATTTCCTCTTAAATGCAATATTCATTGATTTACACTGTTTAATTAGCTAAGCATATATTTGTAAACAATAAAATATCTGTTTCCTTGTGTTCCTACCCTAGTTACACTATTTCGCTTGATTACCTCAGGGAGTCGGACTAAAATTTCTGTACCTGCTTCCCTCCTCAGAAATAAGTTAGTGCAAGCAGTAAATTGTCTAGCACAAAGATTGAGTTTGAGGGGGCAAGAACTGTTTACTTTCCAAATGCGTGGATTTTTATCTATTATTACACATTTTTGCTTTAAATACCCAGATTTTTTGTGAAAATCAGTTTTTTTAAAAAAAAAGTTTCCACTAACTTTTTCTTTGGCTTTCGAGATATATGAGCTTGGCATTACTGCCAATTGATGCTCAAATTGCACATTCCTAGGTTGACCTGGTGTACGGATGACCTCAGCACTACACATGCATAGAAGTGCTTCAGGATTTATTCCTGGTAACTGGATGCATTACTCACACCAGGATCGCTCCCACCTGTTGTTAGTATCTGAAAGTGAAGCAGCTGTTTGGAATTGTGCTGTTAAAATGTGGTGGTGGTATCTGACCACCTTTAACATGGGCAGTAAACACACATCAGTGGCAGATTTTTACCAACCACACTTACCTTTTTTTTTCACGTTTTCTCCCCCCGTTAAATCTCCATTCTTTTTTTTCTCCACAAAAACAGACTCCCTTCCCCACCCCCACCCCCCCAAAAAAAACACAGGCTTTTATTTTGTTTATCAAAACAGACTTTAATAGTTGTGCTTCAATAGTTAACTTTATAACTCTTTTTAAGTTAAGTTGGGTTCCAGTTAGTAGTTAAAGAAGTTCTGCCGACAGTATTCGGTGGTGATTTTGAGGCACTGAAGTTATTGCTTTGCTTATTGGAGGTTTAGTTAACCTTTTCAGTTTAATATTGACTGACGACAAGCCTTGTATGTTTTTTTTAATCGTGACAGGGTGATGCAGCGTAAATACGCCACAGGGAAACCTGATCAAAAAGATCTGAATGAGAACCTGGCAGCTACGCAAGGTCTGGCCCACATGATCACAGAATGCAACAAGCTGTTCCAGGTGAGAAGCAACTTAAAGCAACTGAAGAAGAATCTGCAGCTTGTGTTGATTTTACAGGGATAAGAACAGCTAATGAATAGCTGAGAGCTATTGGGAAAACACTCACCCTCAGGACCTTTCACTGATCATTCTATCTCTGGGATTTCCATGTGTAGGTGGGATGCACGGAATTCACAGTTTGGTTTGGATACTCTTAAGTATGGTGATGGGTTTCCACATGTCAGACATCCGGCTGACTAAAAAAAATCTGATCTAGAACAAAGCTGCTCCTATATTCACAGATGAGCATCAACTACATGGGCACATATAGTCTAGGGTCACCATCCAATGCAATGCTGAGGAAGTGCTGCATTGTCATAGATGCTGTTTTTCAGATGAGATGTTAAACTGAGGTCCCATCTGCTTCTTTGGGTTGACTTTAATCATAATATATAATAATAATCCTTGCATTTGATATAGCGCTTTTCACGTCTTTTAGACGTCACAAAGCGCTTCACAGAATAGACTGTAAAGTGAATTGACTGTATATTTGTGGGCAAAATGCAGCAGCCAATTGCGCACAGCAGTGTCCCACAAACAGTCGTGGATTGAAATGACCAATTTATTATTGGTTTTTTTTGAGGGATTATTATCAGGCGTGTGGAGTAAGGAAACGTGCCCAAGGTTTCACCTTGCCAGGAATTAAACCCAGGTCTCTCACTTGCAAGCAAGTGCTTTAACCACTGAGCTACAAGACTCCACTAGTATCATCTCGTGATACTATTTGAAAAGAGAAGGGAGTTGTTCCCAGTGTCTTCCTCTATATAAAATTGGTCATCACTATTTGTGGGACATTGATGTGTGCAAATCGTTGCTGCATTTGGCTACGAATAGTCACTAAGTTTCAACAACAACAATTTGCATTTATATAGCACCCTTCATGCTGGTTAGTGTCTTGGTAATTCCTATGATCACTTTGAGATCTATTGATGATGTGATAAGGCACAATATAAAATAAAAGCATTATTATAATCTAACAATAATATGTAAGCAATAATGACTTGCACACCTTATGTGAATACCTACTGTATTACTGTTATTGACCACTGATTACAACTGATGATAAACAGACTTTTTTCAATAGCTGATAAATCTATGAGACAAATCTAGCACAAAAAATGCTTGTATAGCTTATGTGAGTACCGGCTGCTTTAATGACTGGTATTTTTATTTGTTTCCTTGAAGTTTTGGTATCCATTTAATACAGGTAGGGAAATAAATCATTTAAACCAACAGAACACCAAGCTGTTGCATTGTTGAATGGCACAGTGTAGAAACAAGGCAGTCACAGAAACCAAGTCTGCTCCTTGCATAGGTATTGAGAGTAGCATTGTGGTTCACCTATTAACGTATTTGTCTGAAACAGATCCCTCAGGATATGATGAGCCAATCCCGGAATTCCTACATTGAAGCAGATGCACAACCACTGACGTTGGATGAACTTGGAAAACAGCTGGAAGAGGAGGGGGCAAATTATCAGACATACCTGGAAAACCTCATCCAGAACCTTCAGAAAGAAACCAAGGAGAAATTCAAGGGTTGGGTTTCCTGTCCATGCCCCGATAACACTGAGCTCGCCTACAAAAAGGTAAGTGGGTCATAGATTCTTCTACTTTATATAATCTTTTTGTCAATTATAATGTTTAACCCTTTACTGGTGATTAGTGACCTTTCAAGAAAAAGCCACAACATTTGACACATAATTGAACTATGTGATCTGCAGGGTTGTTGGTGTTCAACCCGCTGGATAGTCAGTCAGTTGAGGAAGGCCTAACACATGCACAGCTGTTTATGGGGTGGCCTGGTGGAGAGTGTTGTTGGTTTGACTAACATGTTGCTGTGTGCACTGGTTAGAAATGCATTCTCCCTCCACGACTGAATTGCCTCAGATGGTGAAATTCCAATTTCTGTCAGGCCACCTACGCTGGGGGCAGTGAGGGTGAAACCATTCCTATGAGGGAAGGGAGAGAAGAGCAGCAGAATCCTTACAAAATCAAGGGGAGTTCAACATTTTAAAAAGCTTCATGTTCTACCAGGACACGTGCAGCTCTGAACTAATCTCATTGTCTCAACAATACTGTTGAGTTGGAGGCTTTCCTTTCCTCACAGTTCACTTATGTCTGCAGTGTTTACCAGTGATGGGTGCTTCGCCCTGGACAAAGTCCTGGTGTTACTCACTGTCACAGGTGAGATGGCCTTTATTTATAAACACACGACCAGGACGTTCAAATGTAAATGCCATTTCCTGAAATAACCAAAGAATAATATCTTTCCTAACATCATAGCATATTAAGCTGGGTCATAACATAGAGAAGAGTTCAACTAGTGATTGACATTTTCCCTTTTATGTTGTGTGAACGTCTTTGATTTTTAAAATAAATGTATATTTGTGTTTAGCAAAATAAATATTAGAACGAGTATTACAGGAATTCTCAACAAGGTCCTTCAATATCCTCGTCCCAGGTAATACTAGGAAAAACCCATATCTTCAGGAATAGATTTCTTTATTAAACCTTACTCTTCCGAATATATATTGATTTTCAGTTAAAAGATTGATGATCCCATGTGACCTGAGTTTGTGTATCGTACAAATCATTTGCAGCGAGAAATTAAGCTGTAATATGCAAATAAAACTGTGGTTCACATATTACTAGAAATTATGGGCAGGGAGGATATACAGTCAATTCACTTTACAGTATATTCTGTGAAGCACTGTGGGCAAAATGGGGCAGGCAATTGCACACAGCAGTGTCTCACAAACAGTTGTGGAGAAGTGAACACTTTTTTTAAAGGAATTATTACCATTATTATTGCAATAGAGAATAGTGAGATATTCCCACTAGTAAGTAAGATCTTCGTACCTGACATCATCATGGTTTTCATTATTCCTAGTTATGAAGGCTTCCACTCGCTTATTGGCACCAGCTCCACTTTGTGCACTTTGTGCTCATTCATCAAGCTGCCTGTGTAGTTCCAGGAATAACAACTGCTGTTCATCTTATTCTAGGTGGGCGATGGGCATCCTCTTCGTCTGTGGAAAGTGTCTGTGGAGGTGGAGGCACCGCCATCTGTTGTGCTGAATCGAGTGCTGAGAGAGCGCCACCTATGGGACGATGATCTCCTCCAGTGGAAAGTTACAGAGAGCCTGGATAAGCAGACGGAAATCTTCCAGTACGTCCTCAATAGTATGGCCCCTCACCCTAGCAGGGACTTTGTCACACTGAGGTGAGTTTTCAATGCAATCCAATGAGTTTCAATGCAATCTGTTAGGTAAACAGAATCCATCCGTCCAGGGAGAGAGTGCGCATTCCAATCCAACAATCTATCTCTGGGATTTCCATGTGTAGGTGGGATGCATGGAATTCTCAGCTTGGTTTGGATACTCTTAAGCATGGTGATGGGTTTCTGCGTGTATCAGGCACCCGGCTAGTCAAAAAAAAATGTATATATCTGACCTGGATGTACTTACCATCACAAGCAATTCTTTCAACAGAAAACTGATCCCTACCCAGCAAAGAATATACAAAATCAAAAATGAGTGCTGAATTTTAACATTTAATTAGGTCAATATGAGTACCTCGATCCCATGTAATTGACTTTCACTTGTTTGGTTACCTTTTTTTCTGATTAATGTTGATTTGCTCTGTGAATCAATGATGCTGGTGTTTTTGTAACACATATTGAGGTCTAACTTGCTAAAAATGGTACCTGGATGTCCATCACTGTGACCCACCCTCTGTTCCACTGAGATCTACTCTGGAGCAGAATTCCTGTGATGGAAATTCCTTGTTAAGCCATATGGGTCCATTAACAATGTACTGTGAATATCATGATATTGCGCTGTTCTGATGAACTCAGGGTAAAAGAAGCCTGTGTTGGTTTCAGAACCTGGCGGACGGATTTACCAAAGGGAACGTGTTCCCTGGTGGCCATTTCCATAGAGCATGAAGAGGCACCTCTATCTGGTGGAGTTCGAGCCATGGTCATGGACAGCCAGTGTTTAATTGAGCCATGTGGCTCTGGAAAATCCAGACTGACTCAAATCAGCAGGACTGATCTGAAGTGAGTAAATACTGGGCTGATATCCTCGCTCATCTGTCGCTCTTGTGTTTGAACCCTTCTATTGTTTGCAGAGTAACTCGAGTTCTGCTTCACACTGCTGTGATGCAATGCTTAACATGCACTAAGTACTCGAGCAGTTTACAAAACATTGCCAGATATTGACTTAGCTGTTAAACTGTTTGAATTGTTTATCTGTCTTTTGCTTCCATCTGTATTTGGAAGTTTGCCTTGAAATATAATCTCTGAAATGTCTGATGGCCTTAGCCTTAAAACAATTGCAGTGAAGTTTAATATTGTACAAAATTTTGGAAAATTCTTAAATTCCACTTCCACACTTTTTAAAAAGAGCTAGCTTCCAAATAAAGATTGAATTGAAGAATGTTCCATTCATTCAATGCACCTCATCGCAAGCTCATTTTGACTACCTGAGTAAAGATGCTGTAAAATTAAACAATTCTTACATTGAATATCAACATTGTCAAAACATCTCAAAGCTCTTCACAGGATTTACTGTAGAATATGGCTGTATTTGTAGGCGTACACGGTAGCAAATTTGCACAGAGCAAATTACTGTACAATGAATAATTTTATCTGGAGGATATTTGGCCAGTAAATGGAGAGATACTCCCTTCTCTTTTTGAATAGTGCTATGGGATCTTTTAAAGGCCACCTAAATGGGCAAACTGGACCCCAGTTTAACATGGGATTTGAACACTCCTTACAGCTCTGCATTGAAGTGTTGGCCCTAATGAAGTCAAACTCTCGACGTAGGTCTTGAACTCACAACTTTTTGATGTGGAGATGAGAGTGCTACCAGCTCAGCCAGACACATCTTGTAAAATCATAGTCACAGCAAAGACAAAGTGGAGTTTTCATCTACAGATGCAAGTAGCTTTTTGCTTCTACCTAATAATACCTCAATATATTTATCTTCCCAGGGGCCGAACTCCAGAATGGTACAATAAAGCTTTTGGGTATCTTTGTGCAGCAGACGTTGCTAGAATCAGGAGCTCATTTCAACCCATAAATGCCGATGGACCCGAGACCAAAATTTGAAAAGGAAATATCTTTATCCAAAGGAGCACAAACAAAGGATGGGCAGCGAAGCCATTTGACAGAAGAACTGAGGCGGTAGAATGTAGAGAGAAAGTGGTTCAGGATTTCATGGTCAATGACTTCCACTAAGGTCAAAGCTGCTGAGCACATCTGATTATGTTCTGCAACATTTCTGCCAAGATCCTTCACGTACTGCCCTCAGTTGCCTGACCTGATGCTCCTCGGGATCAGAAATAACACAAATCCATGGTTCTGAACTGTACTGCCCAGACTAAACCTATTTCTTTGTAATAATAGATTCACACACACGCACACATTTCTGGCCCTTTCAAAGGCTCTAATTCAGTCATTCTTAATTTGATAGCCAGGGTCCATCACTGGACCACAATAAAGGCCAATGGACCTGCTGCTCTGCAGAAATGTCATAGCTTTTATAATTTATCCACGTATACACTGGGTGAACCTTTGGTACCTTTGGTGGATTGTTTAAAATCTAAAATCCACTGCTCCACTTTCACATAGAATTGTAATCTGTGCTCTGCACATTGCAACGTTTAAATGCTTCTGAGAAGCATCTTCATTTTTATTAAAATGTAGTTATAAAGATAAATATGAAGTATATTATATATAATTATGTATAATTATATATAAATATATAAATATATATATTCCGTACTTGTATTTTAAGCTTATAACACTTGGCTGCAACGCCTAGTTGACTATGGATTCCAACATCTTGCCGTTGAATTTTAGAGCTTTAGCTATTGTGAACCAGGTGTTTGCACATTTAGATGAATTCCACAATGACCTTTGCCGTTTGGTTGGGTCAGATTTGCTTTGACTCGGGTGTGAGTTGCTCACACTTGTGATGGAAGTAGATGAGAAATCCAACAGAACTAGAGGTAGTTTTCCTGTACAGATAGAATAGGTTGTTTTGTCATTCCCAAACCTTCAGTCCATCCCTCTCAGCTGGGTACATGTATAAAAATAACACATTGCATTAATTTATTGATCACTTGGGATGGAGATGGGGGAAGAGGACAAGAGTTTGTACTGGAAGCTCAGTAAAAACTGTGGTGAGAAAAGCTCAGCTCAATTGTGTTCTTTACCATTAAACTGCGCATGTTTTCAAGAACATTACAATTTTCACAGTATTATTTTCCTATGTATCTTACAAGGTGCAATTACTCTTAAATGATGCCATTATCACCTACTTAATCACCATCAATTTCCTGTTAAGTATAGTTTCTTTCTACATGCGTGAGTCAGGTGTTTTCTGTACCAGGCCATATTTTCAATATAGTATTATTCCGCCAATTTGGGATTCATTATGACGAGGAACTTTATTTAAGGATGTAACTATTTATACCTCATATTTTTACCTCATTTGCTGGATTTCTGTTGACTGTAAATTTGTTTACCTAATATTCACAGAGGAAAGATTCTGATACACTTAAAGAATATTTGTGGTTAAAAGTTTTCATTATTTCTTGTACAAAAAGTTTTATTTTTTTCCCTTCCCCCATCGTATTATGAAATGCACTAATAAAGATTACATCATATAAGTAAGGCATTGGTCTTTGGTCTTCTTTTGTGTTTTTAATGGTTGCAAGGGTAAATAGAGCCTTTTGGCCTTCAACACAAGAGTGAGCCAAGATTTCAATCCTGCCAAATTAACCTTATGAATAATAACAATCCTTGCATTTGATATAGTGTCTTATCATGTATTTGAGACATCTAAAAGCGCTTCACAGAATATACTGTAAAGTGGAGGACTGTGCAACGATAAACACGACAGTCAATTGCGCACAGCAGGGCCCCACAAACAGTCGTGGATTGAGTATCGTGGATTTAAACCCAATACTGTGTAAATGAAATAAGGCAAAAAGGAACAGTTTCACAACAAACATTACGCTTTAATTCATGACTACTATTCAGTTATTAAACATTCTCATGTTTCACAAAGTGCAATTCTGCACATTCTGTACTTACAAATGGCATAAACTTCAGTAGGAAGGATTGCTGTGTTACAATGATTTAACTCTGTACATTACACTCACAAAAATATCCACATCTAAAAAATATATTTTAAAATCTTCCATTTCTGGTTAGAAAGATACTCTGTATATTTTGTCTGATAACCAGACTTTCTTGAGAGCTGCCTGTGTCTGAGGTTTCACCATCACTTCACGTTACAGTGTACCAAGTGACAATATTTTATACACTTGAGACAAGTCTCTAAAAAAAATGCTATTGGGAGCAAAAATGAACAGGTTTGTAAATATCCAGGAATAAAATAATAATACGTGAAAGCTAGAAATCTGCAATGAGCTCAACTATCAACTGAAAGAGAACAACAGACTGACTCTTTGGGTTTGAGCTTTAGCTTAAGGAGTGAAGGATTCAAAGAAAGAAATCACACTGGAAATACAAAATATTCAAGAGGAGATTTTTTGAGATATATAAGATGCTAAAATGGGACTGAGAAAATAAACCCAGGACAATGCGTTCAGACGTATAAAGGCAGCAGGACAAGAAGGTACGAGGTTCTGAAGAGCACTTTTAAGGACAGACACCAGAAAGTATTTCTTGACACAAAAGGCAATCCACAGCTGGCTCAGGTTACCAGGAAGGTTAGTGGAGGTTGGGACTCTGGGCTCCTTTGAAATGCATCTCGGTTTTCAAATGGGCCAAAGAACTTTCTTTATCGGTAACTTTCTTGTTATTTTTTCTCTGCCGGATAACAATGGGCACACACACAGTGCATCTCTGGTAAATGTCTGATTTGCATTTTTCTTTGTCTGGAGATTTTATGAATGCTTTTAAAAGTTTTATCCCTAAGCTCAGAGATATCTGTCCAGACATGAACTAAACTGAAGGATGTCTGTCTAGACATGCCCTGACCCGAAGCATCTGTCTAAACATGCCCTGAGCTGAGGGGAATGTCTGAGGCCAGAAAATCGAGTTATAATCCTTCCACTTATTTTGATGTAGAAGTACCTGCACAAGCTTCTGATGATTTAATGATTTATACCACTTTGCTTTTATATTCCTGGTCTCTACTTATGAAACCTAGGATTTCATTAACTTTTTTGGAACAGTTTTGTCACCCTATGCTCCTACCTTTAAAGATTTGTGTATATTAACCCAGAGTCTCTCATCTCTTCCATTTATTTTAAAACATTACTGTTTAATGCATATTTCCTTCCCATATTCTTCCTCCCAAAATATGGGGACATCACTGTCTATATTCCTCTAGTCTGACAAAACCATATTTATCAATATTGGCTTCTGTCCTTCACAACTTTGTATCCGTGCCGTGACTTTTCTGCTAATACAATTCTACTTTTTTAATACAATTTTCAATAAGCCTCCAAGCTAACACCTTATCAAGTGCCTTTAGAAAAAACATACACAGAACAGCTAGTGAATTCCCTTCATTAATCCTCTGTTGTTTCTTTTAAGGACCGTATTAAATTTGTCAAGCAAGAGTTTCCTGTTAAAATTCCATGCTGGCTGCTATTACCCGACATCAGAGATCTTCGCATTGTACCTGTTTTCACTGCCCTTTTCCATCATTTAGCAACAGGCGTGTTTCACTACTGGCTCTAACACAGTTCTACACGGTGTGATTATGTGTGTCAGTCTGACTCAGTGAGTGGGACTCTCACCTCTGAGTCAGAAGGTTGTGGCTTCAAACATGAAGTACAAGGAGAGTGAGATTTGATTGGCTCATGTGCAGAGGAAAATGCAGATTTTTCAAGCCAAATGATCTGTTTCTGTGCTGCAACATTATATGATTCATCCATATCAGTCGAAAGTGACTTACCCCCAAAAAACATTTTCTTAATATTTCTCAGTTTGGGGTCCCTCAGCACCAAGCAGCATTCACTGGCCCCAGAGGATATCTGCCAAGGCCTATATGTCAATAAACAGCCATCAGGATGGGCATTACACCAAGCTGGCTTAGCTCTTCCCTCCAAACCTCCCCTTTCTCCATAGCCCACCTGAGATCAAAAAATTGCCACTTGAAAACAGCTGGAGTATTGTGGGTGCGCTAGTGTTTCCCACTCAACCTTTGGTATTTCCAATTGATGCTCTAGAACACAAATGGGGAAGTCTAGATCCCTTCACATCTTAATTCACAACAACTGCAAATATCTGGATAACCTTCTCAACTTAATTCACTGTTGTTCATGGAATAATCTTGTTTGATTTTTGATTTAAGTGAACAGAAGTAAAAATATGAGACAATATTCAGCCAGTGGGCACATTGTGCTAGCTCCCCGACTAATTCCCTTTCAGATAATGTCATTGAATTGGCTTCAACAATCATTTGTGGTACCACGTGTCACATTCTAACAACTCTCAGTGTGTAAAAACAACCCTCAAACATTATGTTTCTCATGATAATCTTGAAATAATACCCTTGTTGCTGATTCATCAACCAGTGTAAATAATCTCCAATGTATAACCTCTCAAATCCTTTCAGAATTTTGAATGTTTCTGTTATATTCCTATCTTGAAACCAGTAGACACTAGAAGGGTAATAACCCCTTCAAAAATAATAACAACAATAATGTGGCCAGTTATTCCATGACTGTTTGTAGGACACTGCTGTGCTCAATTCGTTGCCGCATTTTACCCACAAAATATTCAGTCAATACACTTTGAGACGTCTCGAAGACGTGATAAGGCGCTATATCAAATGCAAAGATGATTATTTTATTTATCTTGTTGAAACCCTAGTATCATCTCCCAGTGAATTTACGCTGCAAACTTTCCGGACATCTGATAGCCTCTCCAGTATGGAGTGTCAAAATTGGGCACTAATACTCCAGTTATTGCGGTGCTCAAAGTGTCAGGGTGCTACAAACTCCTATTTTTAGCATTGTTCACATTTAGTTCAGAATTCTTTTAAAGAAGGCTTGAAGGTGGTTCCCTGATGTCTCGGGAGATAAATGCATTGTAGGAAGGCAATGAGTCACACAGACCAAAATCAAAGTTCAATCAATGGGTTCTAGTCAATGTCTGTCTGTACTGCATGGCCTGGTCTGTGCTGAGGTAACTGAGCTCACCTGGGAGAAGGGAGTAGTGGCTGAAATTGACCTGGATGTCTACGAGCAAAGGAAAAATAAGACAGCAATTATTGCTGCTCATCACTATCCAGTGCCTCCCTGCAAGAGAGTGCATGTTTTTTGGGTTAACCTTGGGTGTGATGCTGGACAGCAACTGTCTACATTCAATGTCTAAGCTCATGATCCAAAGAATGAACGTGTGTGTAGGATTCAAGTTGTCTGCAGGGCACGGAGAAATGTATCTGTCAGCAGGAAAGTAGAACATCGAGGAAGAAAATAAAGCAAAGGAGGACTTCAATGCAACCATACCTAAGGCCAACACGCAGACAAAGCATTTCTTTAAATAATATCTGTTAACAACCCCATAAAAATTATATTTCTCCATATAGCTTTGTTAATTATGCTTTCTGCATCGCTTTGTAGAATGATAAATAATTAAAAGCATCATTAAAGTAAAAATGCTGAAAATAGATATTAAGAAAATCAATAAATGTTTTCTGAAATATAAAGGATTACATTCTGCACATGAATACAGATCAAAATAGCATCTACGGCTGACTGTTTCTTTTGCAGGAAATCCACCATGATCCACAATTCTCCTGTAATATTCGACTGAGGATTTAGGTTTCCGGTTTGAATTGTAGAACCGTTGTTTGGTTCGTCAATGTCTCTTAAGGCCCAGGCAAAATAGCCGTGCAGATTCACTCCGTCGAGTTTTAAAGCTGGAACAAAATTGAATAGAAAACGAGAAAAATTACTGCCTGGATGTGTTTAAAAAACACGCATAAACTTCATCACAATCGTACATGGAGTCCCGTGGCGTAGTGGTTAGCATGCTCGCCTCACAAGCGAGAGGACCTGGGTTCGATTCCCTGGCGGGGCAAAACCTTAGGCAAGTTTCTTTACTCCACATTCCTCTGTTTACCTAACAGTAAGTAGGAACCCAGTTCTTAGTCGATCGGCTGATCACTTTCCGGGGGTAATAATCCTTCCCAAAAAACAGTCACTCAATCCACAACTGTTTGTGGAACACTGCTGAGCACAACTGGCTGCCACGTGTCACCCACCAAATGCACAGTCAATCCACTTTGCAATATATTCTGTGAAGCACTTTGAGATGGCTCAATGATGTGATAAATGCAAAGGTTATTATTATTATGTATTAAGGCTATGGGTAAAACTATAAGCAATTTCAGATCTCAGGTAGTCAAACGTCTCAGAGAATTTTCATGCTGCTTTGTTGGTACGTTATCTCAGGACCTTGGTTCCACCTTTAAATTAATGGAGCAGCAAGAAAGGAAAAGGATGAGTGATGACCATCAAAGAAAGAATAAGCAGAGAGCAAGCAACAGAGAAAGAAAAAACACAGGCAATACGCAAAGCAGCAAATTGGAAAGTAAGGGTATCAAAGAAACACAGAAAGTAAGAAAGAGGCAATGAGCAAAAGAACGCAGGAAGCAAAGAAACTTCATCGGAAGTAAAGCAATGAAAACCAGCAGCAAAGAGAAACAGAAGGAGCAAAATGAAAAAAANGTTATGAATATTCTGAAAAAATAAAAATAAGATATCAATAGATATGAATAGGTTCAACGATAGGTTCAAACCACACAAGAAAAATAAGGAAACACATTAATTTAACATTTTTAGTTTTAATAAAAACAGAAATGTATGAAATTCATAACAGGAAACCCCCCACCCTCCAGCAGTATTTGCCCAGAATGTTAACTTCAGATGTTGATAATAGTGATAATAATCCTTATATTATAGCACTTTTAATGTCCCATAGTCCTTCACAAGATGTACTGTAAAATACAGTGATTATGTGTTTTGTGGGTGAACACAGCAACAACAACAACAAAATTACATTTATAGAGTGCCTTTCACATCGGGAGGACATCCCAAAGCACACACCAATGTACACAAACAGCCATGAAGTGATTGACCAATTTTTTTTGGTGGGGGAGAAGGAGCATTGTTAACCAGGAAACCGAGAGAAACTCCCTTCTATTTTTGAATAGTGCTAAAGGATCTTTCAAGTTCACTTGAACAAACAGATGGGGCCTAGGTTAATATCTCATCCAAATGATGGCACCTCGAATAATGTGTCACATCCCAGCACTGAATTGTGAGATGAAAATCCAATTAATCTCTTTTAAATAGGATTGTAGGGGCTTTAACAAGCGAGAGACCCGAGTTCAATTCCAGGCAGGGCAAAACCTTGGGCAAGTTTCCTTACTCCACACACCTAATAATAATCCCTCCAAAAACCAAAAACAATAATTAAATTGGTCATTTTCAATCTACGACTGTTTGTGGGACATTGCTGTGCGCAATTGGCTGCCACGTTCGCCCACAAATATACAGTCAATTCACTTTACAGTGTGTTCTGTGAAGCACTTTGGGACGTCCTCCTGACATGAAAAGCGCTATATCAAATGCAAGGATTATTATTATTATTATCAACATCCACCTGAACAAGCAGACAGGAAGAAGAGTGCTGGCATTTGACACAAGCATACATGGTCCATACCACAGTGATTTACCTTTTAATGCTTCATTGATATAGTTCTGAATGTAGTAAACCCGTAACTTGTCGTTGATGGGTGAGTTGTCATCGATTCCATTTGACGTGATGTAGATTGGAACATTGCCATATTTGGATTTTATCCACCTTAAGAGTTTGCGTAATCCCCACGGCACCACTGCTCTTCTATCGGGTGACACCAGCCAGGTGGTGTCCTTCAGGTGATGCACTTTGAGCTCTGGGTTGCTCTGGGTTTCCTGATGGACAATGTGAGTTGTGAAGTGATTCAGTGCCACAAAATCACCCGACCCTCGGACTAGTTCTCTCTCTTCATTGGTAAAGTAGGGCAAATAGGCATCATGCCCATTAGCTCTTTGCTGTTGGCTTAGCCAATCCCGCATGATGAAAGGATAGTCCCCATTACCAAAGATAGGATCAGCAAACCAAGTTATATCAAACTCTAAAGTCCTGGCAGCTGCTTCAATATCACTCCTGGAAAAGGGATCAGCTGGGTCCACCCAATCAGCATGGAGGGAGACTGAGACCTGACCATTCTGTTTTTTTCGATATTCAGTGTTGTATAAATGCCAGGTCAATGCATGGGCTTTTAGTAGGTTGTGGCCTGCAATAGTAAAATTGGATTTGTACTCTGCGAAGTGCTTTATGCCGTTCGGCTCGCTCATTGTCAACCAGAATTTCACTTTGCTTCCCATCTGGTTGAAACACAGCCTGGCATAATCCACAAAGGCGTGAACAGTCGCTGCATTGAGCCACCCTCCGCTGTCCTCCAACGCTGAGGGCAGCCCCAGATCCTCAAGGATAGGGTGGTACAGTACAACAACAGGGGTAATATTGACCCGAAGTAGTTCACTGATGTAGCACTTGTAATAGCGCAGGTTTGCTTTGCTGGCCTGGGTCGAGTTTGCACTGAGAAGAATCAGTGACCAGTTCAAGGAGAACTGAAAGTGAGTAACATGGGTATTCCTCAACAGGTGGATTTCTTGCCTGATAGTGGAATAGTCAGTACATTGAGGTTTGCGAGTCTTGCCAATCACTCCTTTGATCTTTACCAGTTTTCCAGTGCTATTGAGGTCCCACTTGTAAACATTGCGATCAACAAACTGTGGACTTGTAGGGGTTGTTTCTACCTGAGAATGAAGAGGCAGCAATAATATAATAATAATGATAATAATAATCATTGCATTTGATATAGCATCCATCACATCTTCGAGACGTCTCAAAGATGCTTCACAAAAAATACTGTAAAGTGAATTGATTGTTTTGTGGGCGAAATATATATAATAAATTGTATATATAATAAATATATATAATAAACATGTAATAAACTAATTCAACTTAACAACAAATTATGATTTTAGTCTCTGGGCACAACTATAGCTATTTTTGTGAAAATGTATAATGTTAAAAATATGCTCTGGAAAATGCACAATCTGAAAATAATTAAAAGGTGAACCCATATACTGTTTGTTTTGAGTCAAAATTCCTGAGGTCTATTTCACAGAAAGGTATCTGTTGTTCATCAATTCATAGAAATTCCGGCCTAGAATATGACTATTTGGCCCATCAAGCCATTGCTAGCTCCTCCATTGGACCGATACAATAATAATAATAATCCTAACAATAATCCTTACATTTTATATAGTGCCTTTCACAATGGGAGGAAGTCTCAAAGTGATTCACATGTTATATTTTAAAACATGGTGACTATGCATTTTGTAACTGAAAACATGGTTAGGTTAGTTTACATACAGCAATGTCCCACAAACAGCTATGAAGTAAATAACTAATTTTATTTGGGGGATTGTTGGCTGAGTCACCAAGAGAAACCTCCCTTCACTTTTCAAATAGTATCATGAGACCTTTAATAATAATAATTATAATCCTTGCATTTGATATAGCGCTTTTCATGTCGGGAGGACGCCCCAAAGCGCTTCACAGAACACACTGTAAAGTGAATTGACTGTATATTTGTGGGCGAACGCGGCAGCCAATTGCACACTTTAGCATCCACTTGATCAGACAAACGGAATCTCATTTTAATGTCTTTCCGAAGGACGGCACCTCCAACAATGCAGCGCACCCCCAGCACTGCACTAGAGTTTCAGCCTAGACTACATGAGTTCAAAGTCCCAATGTGAGGCTTGAACTTATAACCTTCTGACTCAGATGTAAGAGTGCTATCAAATCATAGCATCATAGAATTATACAACATAGAAGGAGACCATTCGGCCCATTGTGTCTGTGCCGGCTCTTTTAAAAGAGCTATCCAAATCAATCCCACTCCCCCGCGCTCTCCCCATAGCCCTGCAAACTTGTCCTCCCCAAATAATTATCTACTTCTCTCTTAAAAGTTGTTAACAAGTCGGCTTCCACCACTCTTTCAGGCAAAGCATTCCAGATCCGAATTCACTGTGTGAAAAATGAGGCAGGCTGTCAACCTACATACTCTAATCATAGTTTACCTGTCTTTTTCTATACTCATTTATACTGTTCTTCTTCAAATATTTATCCAATTTCCTTTTAAATATTGTTATAATCTTAGCTTCAGTAATCACTTTGCCAAGCGTTCCATGTTCTAATAACCCTGTGCATTAAAAAAAGTCTTCAAACCTCCCTTAACATTTCCAGTGTCAATTCAGATCTTATAATGATAATAATAATCTTTGCATTTAGAATAGCACCTTATCACATCATTGAATGGTCTCAAAGCGCTTCACTGTAAAGACTGTATATTTTCTGGGCAAAAATAAACTGATACTCAGTTGCTACCAATTTACCAACCCGTAGAAATAATCTTTCAATATTTATCTTCTGAAAACATTAAAAACATAGAAATTTATGACATTTGGGCCATTTTTTCATGTTTGTATTTGTTCCTCCAAGAAGCTATCCTAAACCCAAATCCCTTCTCATTCCCCGCATCCTAATACCTTTCCTCTGCATGTATTTGTCTATATCTCTTTTAAATGACCCCCCAAACCCCTTAATCAACACTGCTCTATCAGACAACCCTGGCAAAACATTTCACACACCAAGAATCCTCTGGGGGATGTTTCCTGAAAGCTGCACAGATGCAAATGACACTGTTGTGATTAAGCCATCTGCTCGACAAATATCATTAACAACAACAACAAAATTACATTTGTACAGCTTCTTTCACATCGGGAGGACATCCCAAGGTGCTGGACAGTCACTGTTTCAGACAAGAGCTGGGGGTTGGAATTGGGGAGGGCAGGGGGGGAAGGAGGGTGATCAAAAGCATGGTCGAAGAGAAGGGTCTTGAGATGGGTCTTGAAGGAGGCAAGGGAGGAGCGAGGCAGAGGGACTGCGGGCTGGAGTTTCAGAGGGTGGGGGCAGAGGGGCTGAAGGCCCACCTGCCAATGGTGGACTGAGCGAGGCGGGACATAAAGCAGGCCAGAGCCCATTGAGTGGAGGGAGCGGGCAGGTTGGTAGGGGGTTAGAAGGTCGCAGAGGTGTGGGGGAGCAAGACCATGGAGGGCTTTGATGGTGAGGACCAGGAACTTTATCCTCCGTGTGATGGGAAGCCAGTGGAGTCGGGTGAGGATGGGGGTGATAGGGTCAAGGAGCCTGGTGCGGGAGAGGACATAGGCTGCAGAGTTCTGGATGATCTGCAGCTTATGGAGGGAGGAGTTGTAGAGGCCGAAAAGCAGGGAGTTTGCATAGTCAAGCCTGGATGTTATGAATGCGTGTATGATGGTTTCGGTGACCTGCGGTGTGAGACAGTGGCGGAACCGGGCAACGTTGTGGAAGTGGGGGAAAGCAGAGTGGGTCAGCCACTATGCCCCGAGGCTCTGGAACTCCCTTCCTCACTCCCTTCACCTCGCCCCCTCTCTTCCTATTTTCAGGTCTCTGCTGAAGACCTTTCTTTTTGACTGCGCCTTTGGTCACCTTCCTCCCCCTCCCCCCGGCTCGACCACGGGATCCGTTACTGTGAAGCGCTCTGAAATGCCGTCCGAGTTGCAACAAATCCAAGTTGTTGTTGTTGTTGTCATGGATGGATGTGGGGTAGAATGGATAGTTGAGGGTCAAACAAGATGCCAAGGTTCTGGATTGGCTTAGTAAGGTGGAGTGTGCAACCAAGGATGGTGATGCTGTCAGTGGCTGAGGTGGGGAGGTGCTGACGGGAGCCAATCAGGAGAGCCTCGGTCTGGGTGGCATTCAAATGAAGAAAGTTAACTCTCATTCAGCGCCTTGGGACGTCCTCCCGACGTGAAAGGCGCTCAATAAATGTAATCTTGTTGTTGTTGTTGTTGTTGATGTCTGACAGACATCAACAACAACAACGTCAGGACAGCTGTGATCTGGAGTCAGCGGTGGAGGCAGAGAGGTAGAGTTGACTGTCGTCCACATACATGTGGAAGTTGACCCCATGTCTCCGGATGATGTCCCCAAGAGGGAGCATATAGTTATTGAAGAGGAGGGGACCAATGACAAAACCCTGAGGAATGCCACACAAGACTGTGTGGGGGATAGAAGAGAAACCATTTGTGGAGGTGGTGTGAGAGGTATGATTTGAACCATTAAAGGACAATGATGATTGATGTGAGTGGAGAGGCAGTGGATGAGGATAGAGTGGTTGACGGCGTCGAAAGCAGCAGAGAAGTCAAGGAGGACGAGGAGGCAGAGGGAGCCCTGGTTGCAGATGGACAGAATATCATTTGGCCCTTTGACCAGGTCTGTTTCTATGCTGTGGGCGGCTCGGAAACCCGATTGGAGGGTTTCATGAAGCGAATGGAGGGAGAGGAAGGAGCGAACCTGGGAAGCAACAACTCATTCCAGAATCTTGGAGAAGAAAGGGAGGTTGGAGATGGGGCAGTAGTTTGAGAGCAGGAATGGGTCCAGAGATTTTTTAAGGATAGGAGTGATGCAGCCATTTTTAAAAGGGGTGGGAACGGTGCCAGTGGACAGGGAGACATTTATGATATCTGAGTAGCGGGGCAAGGAGATGGAGCTGGGAGGTAAGGAGAGGGTCAGGGATGGGGTCGAGGGAGCAGGTAATCGGTTTCATGCGGGTTATAGTGGTTGTGAGAGAGGAGTGGGAGATAGGTTCTCTAATTGTTAGTTAGTTCAGTCTTCAAAGAGAAACCTTTAATATTAGTAATATGATGTATATTGTGGGAACATAAGTTGGCTGTTGAAGCAGCTGCACATCATCCAAGCTCAGGATTCAAGGACCTGCAGTAGGAGAGTGTACATCCACTTGACCAAGATACTCTCAGAGCAAATAGCTGTGAGCAGGAGAGAGATGGGAGCAGTTTTGATTAGTTTTTGAAAGGACTGCTGAGCAGATATTTTCAATTGACACAAGGACTAAGCTGTTCAAACAAATAAATTACCCGTGAAATTAAAAAACATTGTGAATCTTGTTTTAGGTCTGTTAACTTGTTAGGAAGTGCCTCCGGCTGCTCAAGCTTGAGCTCAGGGTTTCTGAGCTCAAGGAGAAGCTGGTGTCACTACATAGCATATGGAAGGCTGAAGAGTTCATGGATCGAACGTTTTAGGAGGTGGTCACCCCATAGCCACAGATGGTTCAGAAAGCGAGTGAGTGGGTGACCACCTGGTAGGAAGAGGGGACGGGTAGTGCAGAAATCCCCTGAGAGTGTGGCACTCACAAACCGGTCCTCTGCACTGAATACCGGTGAGGGTGATGACACCTCTGGGGAGAAGAGTCAAAAGCAAATGGATGCACAGTGGGACACGGGAGAGTGTCAATGCAGTTGTCATTGGGGACACAACAGTGAGAGGAGTATACAGGCGTTTCTGAAACCAAAGACGTGACTCTCGCATGGTATGTTGCCTCCCTGATGCCAGGGTTGAAGACATCATGAAATGGGTGCAAAACATTCTACAGGGGGAAGGGGAACATCCAAAAGTTGTCGTCCATGGTTGGAATCCATGACTTGGGAAAAAAAGGGCTGAGATCCTCCAGGGAGAATATCAAAAGCTTGGGAAAAAGCTAAAGAGTAGGACTTCAAAGGTGGTGGTCTCTGGATTACTCCCAGTGCTTTGTGCAAGTGAGTATCAAAACAACAAGATCAAACACATGAATGCCTGGCTGGAGAAACAATGCAGAATGGAGGGCTTCAGGTTCCTGGAACATTGGGAC